GACCAGCTTTCCTAGCATCCGAATTCCGGAGAGCAGCCTGTTTCTGCCGGATCCGGTCCTCCTCACTTCGCCGAGCAGATGATTTCTTGAGCAACACCTTCTTGCCTTCGCGCGCAATAGCCGCAGCGTCGCCAGGTCGCCCGGCTGCGAGACGAGTGAGAACATCCTCCCGAGAGGCCTGTAGCTCCCGCCGTTCGTTCTCGTATTCTTGTTTAGCGGCTTCTCGGCGAAGACGGGCCAGTTCCTGCTCATGTGTCTGCTGCTCCTTGAAAGACGAGGCTTCCTGCGCTTCGAGGGCTTGGTTGGCGCGGATCGAGCGCATGTTCTCTGAAGCATATTTCTGAAGGTCACTTTCGGTCTTGGCCACATCGGTGCCGTGTACGAGATTTGCGATGATCTCCTCACGTTGTTCGAGGAAGTCGTCCCAGGCTCGTTTGGAGTCGAACTCCTCTTCACGGCGGTTGAGACTGCGGACAGTATCAGTATCCTGCGAGGTCACCGGGAAGATGGCTTGACGACATACATTTGCATCACTCTGCGCCGGATGTCCACCTCTCGTTCCACGTTGATATCCTCGAAGGTTTGCTTCCGAAACCGAGCCTTTCGCAGCGTCTTGTGGCAACCCGCGACGGGGCAGTTTGCCGGGCCTGACGAGAATATGCGATCCACACACGATTCGCACATTTTGTGATAACATTCCGGATTGATAAGGAACTGCATATCCGGGTTCAAGTACCGCGAGGATTTGCAGACAGGGCACACCTCTAAAGAGAGCTGGTTAGCACAAGTGGGAAGGGGATTCCGATGCAGGGCAAACAACCATACCGTCATCATCCCCGCGGTTGGCCATAGCTTCCCGGGCAGAAGGCATAGTTGACAGCTCGCAGATCTGATTAAGACCAAGGCGGAGCAGAGTAAGTGTTGAACAGACCGCAGGTGTCGCAGCAGTGAAGCCTAAATGACGGGTGATTAATCCAACTGCCCGCACGGGCCAATCAGGCATTCCGCCCATTGTTCCGCGGCGGAACTTTTTTCTTTGCCGCCGCCGCCTCCAACTCCTCTCTCCGTCCACCTTTGGTCTTTGACCTTGATTCACACAAACTTTCCTCATTCAGGTAAAAGACAACTTATCCTGAACCTCAGTCCAAGTCACTCGCTCGGCAGATTCTCGAGACTCGATTTTATGAACATAATCATGGGTGTACCCGACAGCCAGCTACACGAACTCGAGCGCCAGCGCCTAGAACTCGAAGGCAATATCTTGAAACTCCAGGACTCACTCTACCACTGGCGCACCTGGGAGGCAGAGTACGACGGCCTCAAAGAGGAGATAAACGACTTACCTGAAGATGCGGATCGCGAAGACTTCCTTAGCGTGGGCCACAGCCTCGGCGGATCGCTGGTCACTGAGGAAGAAGTGAAGGTGATACTGGGCGAGAAAGAAGGCGTGACGCGCACCAAAGGACAGGTGGTCAGTTTGATTAACAGACGCATTGACTATGTCAAACAAAATGTTGCGACAATGGAGAAAAGACTACGCGCTGCAGAGAACGAATTGTATGCGCTGGACTCACAGGAGCAACTACCGAGTGATAGTACGGCCGAATTTCCGATGACTGAGATTTTTGAAGAACTTGACGAAAACGGTAATATCGTCTCGAGCACAACAAACACCCCGGGCAGCCAGGCTTCTGAGCTTTTGAATATCTTGCAAAAAGCCGGTGTCAGCGACATACCGGACACGGCGAATGTGACTACGGCACATCAAGACTCGTCGCAGCATGCTGCAAGGACTACGGAAGCACCCGCTACGGAAGAAGTTCCGACTGCAATCGAGGTGGAGGAGGTAAATCCCCAGGCTATTGAGGAGGAGGAAATGCCAGAAGCGACTACTCCCGAGAACAACCCTAAGTCTCCCTCAATGGATGCAGCTGGTCTCCTAGAATATCAACGTCTTGCAGCAAGCATTGAGGAATCGCCAGAGGATGCCCAGTTACGGCGCGATATGCTGCAGTATAGCCTAAATGAAGTTGGAGCGGTCGTGGCCGAATTGGAACTTGACGAGGATGCAAGCGACGTTTCTGTGGACGAAGAATATGATGATTACCCTTACGACGATGACGAAGAGGAGGAAGACGAATATGGGAGAACTACGACACGTGTTCTTGATGAGGATTACCACCGCGAAATGCGAGAGTTGGAAGCCAAGCTGAACGCGCGAGGATTGTGGAACATTGGCAAGAACACCGACTCTCTCCCAACTGATGTCAAAGCGGAGTTGGAGCAGCCCAGTGTGGTTCGTGTTGAGAAGACCACCGAGACAGGCACCGGACCTGTGCTCGAGAAGAAGCCGAAAAAGAAGGTTGCCTTTGCTGACGACCTCGACATTGCTCCGGCCCCGAAGCCTCCGACCCAGGATAAGAAGGTTGTCCCAGTTCGTGAATCTAGTGTACCTGTTCTTGCAGATTCCGTGGTTGAACGTACAGAGCCTGTTGCAAAGGAGCCAGTAACTAAAGACGCACCGAAGAAAGTCTCTCGGTTCAAGAGCGCTCGGAGAACGGACGACAGCGCAGTCAACCCAGCCACTGCGTCAGAGACTTCAGCTGGCCCTTCCCGGCCCGTCGAACTTCGCTCGTCTTTACGCAAGACTGGCACCCCCTCTCCCGCGCCATCCTCTCTGCCTCTTTTCCCTGCCAGGCCAGCGGAGCCTAAACCCTTCTCCCAGCCAATCTCAGCTGATCCCGAGGAAGACCCCGCACCCAGAGGCCCAGAAGGCAAAATTCTGGCAGATACCCTTGTTGAACGTGAGGTTTCGCAGACGTCCGCCGTGGCACCGGAACCAGACGAGCTCGATGAACAACTGCATCGGAAGGAGATTGCTACTGAATTTTACCAAATCCGCAATCGCATGATCAAGGAACAAGGCGGATTCGTTGACGAAGAGCCCGAAATTGTCCCTCTCGAAACAGAAGAGGCTCCTAGGCGTGTGAGTAAGTTCAAGGCCGCGCGCATGAGGTAGGCCAGGAAAAAATCATTGCAATTGGAAGTCAGATACCCATTATGTATATTGCATGGTGATTGGGAAAATATATTCATTTTTTCTCACATTGATATACTGCATTGAGGAATTTCTCTGTAGATACTGGACTTCAGCTTCATGACTGAGCATACAGTACCTCGTGGTATGCCCATAACGCTGAAAGTCCAAGATCAAGGACCAAGGGCTCTCTGACTGCATTTCCATTATTGGATGTATTGGGCTCTACGGAGTACTTACAGACAGTAAGAGATGGTTATACGGTTACGTTTCACCCTCAACATCCCTTCGATTATCCCAGAACCCGACCCTGGAGGCGCCATCTACGTAGAAAATGCTACTCTATCTCGTGCATCAGCGGTCATGACTCAACGCCTTCGAACCTTCTTGCTCAATTTATTCATCCTCATCCAACAATCTGAACAAGCAGATGACGGCACCTGTTTCGCTGAAATCCAGCCAATGCCACATAACATAGTTTTGTTGCCGTAGGAAGCTCCATGCAATTGACCTAGGGTGGGCAACCTCACCTCTCAATTACTCTTTGACATTTGTAAGTCAAGCGAGAACGACAAATTCATGATTCCCTGCATCTAGGTGGAGAATCGCTTGCGTACCACTTCTTGCAATACAGATTCCTACAGTGCGGGAAATACATGTCTTAGTGGAAGTGATCTGCAACTGGCGTCGACGTCAGTGTTGTTTATCCATGGATTGATGGCACTCCCCGCCCATTGTTCCATCCAATCGACGAAGCAATTGACAACCCATAGTCTCCCCAGGCAGGTACAGTCAACCGATCAGCGTGAGTTACTGAGTACGAGTACTTGTCTTTTTATGACGAGCCATTGACAAGTGGACCATGCATGTAAGACATGCTGAGGGAGGGGAAGGGAATTGGCTCGTATGAGTACAGCACAATTGCGTTTCCCCAACATGCTACTCGTATGCAATGTTTCTCGTCCAGCTCCCCATGTTTATGGGCTTGACAGCATCTTGTAGTAGGGGAGAGAACTATGCAGCGCATGGTCTATCCACGGTCCATGGAGAGGGGAAGACTGGCTTGGGAATCAGTGACGGCTGTCAATTCTCGACCGGACAGGTTCAAAGATGTGGGTGGATCGGATGTGATACTTCTTTCTTTCTTTTTTTTTTCTGTATATTTTTTTCTTAAATAAGCCGATGGAAGTTTCCCTTCCCTTCTGCCACTTGAGAGTCCTGGATAGTGTGGGTCCGGTATTCTTGACTCCAAAGGCTAGAATGGCTGGTCAAAATCCAGTTTGAAAACCCGAGACCTGCCGGCAGGAATATTACCATCTAGTGGGATGATGGATGGAATGGGAAGGACCCAACTTGAACTAGGGGGTCATGATGGCAGAAGCATACGTAACGGTCCCTGTGCGCGGGGAAGAGCTGAGATTCTCAGTACATGTACAGTACGAAGTGCTATACGTCCAATGCTAAATCACTTTGGGCTTCAATAGAAAAAAAAAAGAACTAAGTGAAATCTATATTCAGTAGGAAAAGAAGACAATCTAAGACAACCATTCGTACTGCTTTGGATGTTCAACTCCATGTGTAGATGTAGAGACAATCTAAGTATTACTTGTGTCAGTCAACTGGGAATCAGAGTTAATTTGTAGGTAGTTAAGTAGCTTCACTAGAGGAGCATGTGAGGACTCTGCCAGGTCTCGAATATATGAGTATGTGTTATCATCTTCATATAATGGTTTGCAAAACAATAGTATGCGACGTTATGCATAAAAAGCCCAAGGCGGAATTAAGAACTGAAGCTATACATCCACCATTCAACATTAGGCCAAACCTTATGGAGCCCAGACGCACAGGGCTGTATGGTCTGTGTACTGTACATGACACTCAATTGCTCTTTTCTCTACAATGCATCCTCGCTCAGACTGTGCTGTGAGCTTGTAGCGCGCAGACAACCACCGCCATACACACAATTGCGAATGACGTGGTAAGTCGATCGACATAGCCTTTACCTAGAGAACAGAGAAATATGGAATGGAACAAGGGCATTGAGACAATTCTTAGCGATTGCCATTAGATGAGCAGTTGAGAAATAAAAATAGTCTTGGATGATGGCGATGATGAATGCAATGCACATCCCCATCAAAACAATCCAACCAGAAGCAATGCCGTTGGCTGTGGCTTTCGTCATGGCCCACTTGCAGAAGAATGACTGATGTGGCTGGCCGATGAGTGGCTGCATCCCCTGTTTTTCCCCTGCTGAGAGTCCCACTCCTCCCACCTACTCCTCCCACTCCACCGAATGAGTTCCGGTGTCTCCGTCACTTGGCTTTCCTGTCTGTTTCAGATGAAGCGAACTCAACTGGATTGAAACTCTTTCTTCGCCCCGATTCATCTCATCCACATCATCCACACCCTCCCACACATCCACACACCCCGCAACCCCCTCCATACCGGAATTCTGATGCTGCAATCACATTCAACTATCCCATGATGACATGCAGACGGGTGGGAATCTCGCCTATCCTAGGCTGTTGATGTCTCTGACGGAAACCTCCTGTCCAGCCGAATTGTTGGTCATCGCACTACTCCGCACACCATGTGGTGGAAGAGACTTATCCAGAACACGGCCTGTACACGGAAGGAATGATGCAATATGTCTTCGAAGAGGAATCCGACATTGCCGTCGTCCACTTGCCCTATGGCATTGATCGGAAGGCACTCTTCCTCCATTACGCGGACTTGCTTGTTCTTGCGCGTATCGTACTTGGACTATACTCCATACACACAAAGCCTATCCCATTATATGCTCTGTGACGGTGGGTTTCCGCTTGCCTGTCAAGTGGGTGAATATGAATAGAAACAACGCGTTCCTGGGAACGCCAATGTCCAGTTCCTGATGCGAGGCAGATATGGATCCTGCTATGGGTCGCTGAACGGCGGACAAAACCCGTGAATGGAATGTCATTTTGCCACAGAGTCGCAATTGACCCGCTGCACACCCCCATTAATCGGGAGCTCATCGATCAAGGCAGGGTATCTGGCCGATCCAAAGGCACCGCTTGATGGGGCCGGCTCCACCGAGCTTGAAGAAGCCCTGAGATACCCCGGCCACTAATTCGGCTGCCTTTTTGCAGTACTGCCCTACTTACCAAACAAGAGCCACTCACAAGGGTTCTCATATCCACAATGCTCAGGACTTTATGACGTTTACTCTAGTGCTCTTGCCGACCCACGACAGTGTCCAGACCCGAGACTGCCGGCCAATTCGCTGACTGCCTGTTCGCTCGTCGGCCATGTCTGGCTGGGCCCATGGTGGCCCTTTATCGGGCCCATGGTCTCGTCGACCCTGCAGAGTCATTGCAACTAGCTGCGGTCTATTTCAATTCTCTCGATCTACATGTGGAGGTACTTGATCGTGTTCCCTGGGACCTGTTTGTTGTGTCGGAACAGATAGTATGACGTTCCTGGTTGTGTCCACTATCTCTTATAAAGAATTGCACATGCCCTGAACGTCGCTTTTGAGTTCTTGTCGTAACAACGATCTTGCACTATACTGGAAGCCGTCCAGTCCATTCACCCTCTAGCTGCCGACCAAGCTCGCTAGTGCAAGGATGAAGAACTTTGCAACTCTCGCAGCTTTCGCTGCTGGAGGAAATGCCCTCGTCAGCCGCGCCGACTCATGTTGCTTCCACCTGACTGCTTCGGGCGCCGCATCTGGCACGGTAGGCCAACTTGGTGATGGCCAGAATCGCCTCGGTGGTGGTCTTTCTGCAGCCTCGTTCTGCATCGATTCGAACGGTGCGATTACTGACAGCAGCGGACGTGGTTGTGTCGTGACCAGTAAGTCTTGAAATCGGACGATGCTGAAGCGAGAAACAATGCTAATCAATTGTACGTCGACAGGTTCTGTGACCCAGTTCCAGTGTGAATTGGGTTCTACCGCCCAGACTGGCTTCTCAATTTCGTCCGGCGGTCAGCTGGAGTACCAGGGCGACTCTACCTTTGTGGCATGCCAGACGGGTGACAACGGTGAATTGAACATCTATACCACTGAGAGCTCCTCGGTGACTGGTTGCTCGAGCATCACGCTGGCCGCCGACTCTTGCTCGGGTTCCGGTGCTGGTGCTGGTGGTGGCGGCGGCACAGCTACGGCAGTGTCATCGGTTCAGGTGCCCGGCCAATCTGGCAAACCTGGCTCGGTTCTTCCAGGTCAATCATCTTCCTACATTCCGGGTGGCGCTGCTTCAAGTGCACCCGTGCCTGGCGGAGTTTCCCCAGGTCAATCTTCTGCTTCCGTCCCTGGTGGCGCTGCTTCTAGCGCACCTGTGCCTGGCGGGGTTTCCCCAGGTCAATCTTCTGCTTCCGTTCCTGGTGGCGCTGCTTCAAGCACACCCGTGCCTGGCGGGGTTTCCCCAGGCCAATCCTCTGCTTCCATACCGGGTGGTCCTGTCTCCAGTGCACCAGTGCCTGGCACTGGATGTGCCTCCGCTCAGACAGTTACCGTCACCACTACCGTGATCCAATCCAATTGCGCAGCAGGAACTTCTGGTGTTCCTGTGCCGATTCCAATTCCTGGTTCTAGTGTTCCAGGCGTTCCTCAGGGTACACAACCTGCCGGCACTCAACCTGCCGGCACTCAACCCGCAGGAACTCAGCCCGCTGGCACTCAGCCCGCTGGAACTCAACCCGCTGGAACTCAGCCCGCTGGCACCCAGCCCGCTGGAACTCAACCCGCTGGAACTCAGCCCGCTGGCACCCAGCCCGGTGGCGGTACTCAACCCGCAGGAACTCAGTCCGCTGGCACTCAGCCCGGTGGCGGTACTCAACCCGCAGGCACCCAGCCCGCTGGCACTCAGCCTGCAGGAACTCAGCCCGCTGGAACTCAGCCCGCTGGAACTCAGCCCGCTGGAACTCAACCCGCTGGGACTCAGCCCGGCGGAACTGCACCTGGTGGAACCCAGCCCGCCGGCACTGCACCTGGTGGAACTCAACCTGCAGGCACTCAGCCCGCTGGTACTCAGCCCGCTGGAACTCAACCCGCTGGGACTCAACCCGCTGGGACTCAGCCCGGCGGAACTGCACCTGGTGGAACCCAACCCGCTGGCACCCAACCCGCTGGCACTCGGCCCGGTCAGCCTGGCGTGACTCAACCTGCTGGCACCCAGCCTGTTCCTGTTCCGATCCCAATTCCTGGAACTAGTGTTCCAGGTGTCCCTCATAGTACTCAGCCCGGTGGAACTCAACCTGCCGGCACTCAACCCGCAGGAACTCAACCCGCAGGAACTCAACCCGCAGGAACTCAGCCCGCTGGCACTCAGCCCGCTGGCACTCAACCCGCCGGCACCCAGCCCGGAGGTGGAGCTCAGCCTGCTGGAACTCAACCCGCTGGAACTCAGCCCGGCGGAACTGCACCTGGTGGAACCCAGCCCGCCGGCACTGCACCTGGTGGAACTCAGCCCGCCGGCACTACGCCCGCCGGCACTGCACCTAGTGGAACTCCGCCCGCCGGAACTGCACCTAGTGGAACTCAGCCCGCAGGCACTCCGCCCGCCGGGACTGCACCTAGTGGAACTCAGCCCGCAGGCACTTCGCCCGCCGGTACTCCGCCCGCCGGAACTGCACCTGGTGGAACTCAACCTGCAGGCACCAAGCCCGCAGGCACTTCGCCCGCTGGTACTCAGCCTGCCGGTACTAAATCCACCGGAACCCAGCCTGCGAGCACTCAACCTGCTCCCTCAGGAACATCCGGAGGCGCCAGCAGTACTCAACCATCAGCTTCCGCTACTCGGTCAGGCGCTGCCAGCTGCCCAACTGATCTGTCTGGTGACTATGAGTATCCTCATCTCATTGTTCCTGTCAACTCCTCCACCCCTGATACCGCCTATGGCTCTCAGCTCTTCGGCACCGTTTCGTCCACAGTGTCGACCATCTTCAATTTTGATATCCCATCTTCTGACTCCGGCAAGACATGCAGCCTCATCTTCTTGTTCCCTAACAAGGAGGACCTCGAGACCTCTGATTACACCTTCAGTGGTGACGGCAAGGTTGACTTCTCTCAGCTGACGTCTGCTGCTGGGTTAAAGACCACTTATAACACCGCTCCGTCGGTCAAACAGGACTATGGAGAAATCACCATTTCACCCGGAAATTCCTACCTGGTTGCCTCTTTCTCGTGCCCGGCTGGTCAAACCGTGGGTTATGAAATGAAGGGAACCGGTAACACCTACCTCAACTTCTTCGAGGACTATAACCCATCTCCGTGAGTATACTCTGATGAACGTCTATTGAGAGACCTTCAGCTAACCATAAGCTATAGTCTCGGTCTGTTTATCACCGTCTGTTAACTTGGTTTTCTCGACGGGTTATCCTTCGGACAAAACGCGAACATGAATCCTGGACCCATACTTTACTCCTTTTCGTTTCTTAATTTATACTGAATATTCCCTTCTAGTTCTGGCAATATGATTATTTTCTTTGATTATGGCACACAGATGAGAGCCGGCAATGATGGTCAGACGGTTATAAGAGGTTTCTGATTGAGAGGCTGTCTTACTGCCAGCCAAGGTAGTTTTTAGTGATAATGTACAATATCGAATGTCATTCGGTTCATGACTGCCAGTGAGGAATCTTTGCAGTTATTCTGGACTCGTGGTTAGCTAGTGAGTACGATGAGCTGGTCTCCGGGTGGAGTCCTCAGAAAGACAAGACTTTAGGCAGCATCATTTCAGGGTTGGTAATTTTTGTATGTGGGTTCCAGATCCCGCCGGATACCAACTCATTATTTTTTCCTGGACGGTATAATGCACGCAACTTGTGTTCGAACCAAGGGTTGGACTTCTTCTTAAGATATGATATTCGTATCACTAAGTGAAGGCTCGCTTTCAGAGGAGCTAAATAGGAGCAAAGTAAATATACTTAATCTAATGATATGTATGCAGTCTTGCTGAGGCATCGAGTGTGTGTTTTGATGATCTGGGGACTCGCTGTGACAGCTCCAAGATATCTATTATTATTTCTCTGAATTTCCCTGAATTTGCAACCAGCATCCAGCAGCCCTATGGCGTGTACGTGCAGAAGTGGCTGAGCGGCTTGTCAAACATTGCGGGGGTGGAGGCTGTAGGCGGTTGTCCTTGGGGCGGTCAATCCTCCGTAACTTACCACTTACCACTAAGATTACCAGTTGGTCCCCCCCCCAAACTACCTATTTATACCCAGCCGCTGATACCAAGAGACCAAGGCTTCATTCACGCTGATCGTGCGGCGATGCCAACCAACCCATTTAAGTTCGCCCACCCGCGGGCCTGCAATAAAGCAAACGTTTTTTCAGATTTCTTGAACTTCTTCTCTCAATTATCTCTCCCTTTCATCTTCTGTACTTCTTACATTTCGTCCACTATATTGTAGACGAAGATTGGTAGCATTTGGGTTTTCTTTCAATTGGACTCCTCTTCCTTTGTTGATTGGTGTTTCGAATGGCAGCAACCTAGCTGATTGATTGATCCCCTCACGTGCTCGATTTCCCTACACAACAGCCATCAGACGTAATTTTTCAACAACAATATCAACAAATTACTTTGTTAGACACAGCTTCGTTTCTTGGTTATTTGCTTTGATTCTGGAACTTTGAATATCGCTAGGCGCTGCGTTCATTGCATGATGAATCGCCTGCCCGACAAGCTGCTCTTTTCCAAGCAGCGCCTGAGACCGCGGGTTGTGCTTTCGTAAGTCCAGACGGAGGCTTGCTTTGCCTACTTCATCCCCAAACCCAAAGCAATGGCTAACGCTTTCGTCTCGCTCCAGATACATCGCGGACTATGTTATACTCGTGTTTGTCCACATCATGAACTGACCGCCAGGAATTCCTGCTAACAAGACTGTACCAGTGTCTGTATTGCAGGGTTCTATGCTCTCGACTCCATTGAACCCTACCACCAACATTTCTCGCTACGAAATATCTCCATCCAGTATCCATATGCCGTTCACGAGCGTATCACGATACAGGAAGCTCTCTGTATCTCTGGAGTGGCGCCTCTAGTCATCATTGCCGTCTATACCCTTCTTATAGATGGTCTCTTCTCCCACAACAAACCACAGGATCCAGTATCCGGCAAACGGAAATTCTCAGGCCCGTATCGGTGGAAGGATCGACTATGGGAGTTTAACTGTGGGATACTGGGGCTCCTGCTCTCTCAGGGGCTGACGTTCGTCATCACGCAAGCATTGAAGAACGCCTGTGGCAAGCCTCGGCCCGATTTTATTGATCGGTGCCAGCCTCGCGCAGGAAGCCAGGATGCAATCCCAGGCTTGTCTAACTCTACCATCTGCACGGGCGAACATGCGCTCATCAAAGACGGCTTCCGTTCATGGCCATCAGGTTCGACAATCCTGCAAACACTTTGAAACTGATCGTATGTTGACTTATAAGAATAGGCCACAGTAGCTGTAAGATTGTCTCTTCAATGCCAAAAGATTGAAACTGATTCCTGACTCAACCTACGTTACAGCGTCGTTTGCTGGCTTGTTCTACCTGACGCTCTGGATGAGTGGCAAACTGCATATAATGGACAACAAAGGTGAGGTCTGGAAAGCACTCTTGGTCATGATACCAAGCCTGGGTGCTACTCTCGTTGCGGTGAGTCGGATTATGGATGCGAGACACCACCCCTTCGACGTCATCACTGGATCGCTTCTTGGGATCCTCTGCGCCGTTATCTCCTATCATCAGTATTTCCCACCTCTTTCGCAGCCTTGGAAGAAAGGTCGCGCGCATCCGATCCGCAGCTGGGGGACCGAGCCGCTACCCCCATCGAATCCATTGAACATGGTGAGGTTCGAAGATAGTACTGCCGCGCTCCGTCACCCGGCAGAAGACAGCCAGGCAAAGCCGATGGTCGGTGCAGACAATGGCGCGGCTTATATCCCCACATCCAATCCCTACGCTACAAATATGTACACTCGTCGATCACAAGATGAGGACGGGAATTGGTCCTCATCTAGCGAGGACGTTCACGCAAATGGCTATGAGATGCAGTCTGGGTATGCTCGAGCACGCAACCCAGGACTGAATGGATCGATTCCACAATACGAGGTCGACACAACGTATGACTCGCAAAGACCACAGGCGGCCACAGCTCTCCATGCACCCACACGAGTGATGACTGCTCAGCTTGATCGAGGGCGGGATCTGACTGAGCTGCATTCGCGGGAAGTATAAGGCACCGGACGGGGCTACCCCCGGTCGCCTCAATGCGAGGGGGATTCATCATGTTGCCATTTATAGAACATATACCAGTACACTTGCATGGAACATTTTCGGGCTCATACTGTGATGATGATCTTGGTTTATTTTTCTCTCTTTGTCTTGTCTTCTTTCTTCTTTTTCGGGGAAAAGTGTGGCTATCAGTCACGGAGGGTATATTATTGAGTTCAAACAACAGGCGGGGAAATGACAGACCACAACATTCGCTCCGAATGGCCAGAAGTCCTATGGTCTACTTACGACCATGGATTCGCGGGCGGTAAGTGGGCTTTTCATGAGGATTTACTCCGTGATGAGTGGATCAATGATGAAACCGCAGGCGGTGATCACAGCGCAGTATTTGCGGCATGTACTCTACGGAGTACAGGTTGTACAAACTGTACACAATGTACATACTTTGCTACGCTATCTATTTTCTAGAAAGTCATGATTATATCGCTGACGCTGACTGACTCTCTCTTCGCCTCGGATACTTACTCCAATGATAATCGATCGAGTAATTGAGGTTGTCCCTGATGATCACTGACGGCTGGCTCTAGACTTTCTTTCTTCCCCTCGTGGCGGCCCCACCGATGACCGGGTCTTGTTATTAGTATTGTTGCTACAGTAAACAATCATAACAATGCCATGATGCTCATGGACCAACAACAAATAAGGTAACGTTACCCTTGAACTAATTTAGTCTATATCTACTACGTACTGCTTAATTGGAAGGTCAACCGCTTCAATGTCATCATAGTCAGGCTGTGGTGAGACGCAGCGAGCCGCCCTTGTAACGACCTTCATCGACTGTTCTCCCAGCCACCCCGCGTCCTCAGTCGCCCAGCCTCCCCTCTTCCTTTCTCCGACGTGCATATTCTTCCTCCGACCGACCCATTCTTTTCTCCCCATCGACCAGTTTTCTCCTGTTGAGTTCTGTTTTCTGGGATGCATCATCTGCACCCTTGCTCTTCTTTTATCTAACTGCGTGTGGGTTTCTCTCTCGTGCGTTTCCAAAGAATCGAGTTACATTTAGATCGGCACCTAACCGATCCCCTCACTACTCGCTATACGTTGTCCGGCGCAACGTCAGAGCCTGGTTGTACCTTGCAAGTTCCGTCTGACCTTGGTCTCATTTTCATTCCTATCGCCCTCCCCGTCCATCGCCAATCTTCACTGAGTGTATGATGACGTTGTAGCTGTTCGCCAGCCCGTTTGTTTTATCTGATCTTGCAGCCATCTTGAATTTCGATAAACCTTCTTGCAGCCAATTCAGCAACTGTTAAGTCGAATCGATTCGCGCGCATTGTGCGAATAACAACACGCAAGATGATTGGCAGTCTCTTCTTCATCCTCAATCGGCTCTTAGAGCTTATTCTTCTAATTCCGATCATCGGAATGATGGTAGGCACATTCCACAGCTAGAATTGAGCCCTCCCGAGTATTGCAACTGACATCCGCACGATAGGCCTACTTTGTCAACGGCTATCTGAACGCAAACATGATTACCCCGGCCTATATCCTGGTCATTTTCATTGTTAGCGTCATTGCGGCTTTCTGGTGTATCGATACCATGATTCGTATTTCAACCACTCGACGTTCAGCGATGTTCGTCGCTTTCGTGGATCTACTATTCTTCGGCGCATTTATCGCAGGGGTCTATGAGCTGCGATTCATCACGAATGCCGACTGTGCGCACTGGAATGGAGGCTCAGTGTACATTTCGCTTGGTCCCTTCGGATACTATGGCTACACCTCGGACAATCCGCTGTCATTCCACATCAACAAAACATGCGCGATGCTCAAAGCTTGCTTTGCATTGGGGATAATCGAGGTGATCCTATTCTTCTGGACGGCGATACTGGCGATGATGATCTACCGCCGACCGGACACGGTTGTCAAGGAGACGACTGTGCGGCGCCGCAGTCACAGCAGTCGACGCGGTCATAGGCGCCATAGCAGCTCACGCAGCCGACATCACTATGAAGTCTAGGATTGATTTCTCTATTTACGACTTTACGGACTACGATGGAATGGTATATGGTTCATGATGGAAATTATTGATGATGCACAGAGGGCCGGTTTGGGGGTTAGGCCCAGGAAGAGATGCGATCGCGCTCACGACTTACGAGACACTGTTTCCTTTGATACTATTTTTGCATCTACCTACCAGCTTAAGCACATACTTTGACTGTGCTTCTCTCTGAAAGATACACCGCATGATTTGTGCTCGATTGCAGCCCTGGGGATGTTAATGCTTCGTACGGCTGTTCTATGTGTCATACGATTTTGTTTTTCTCAATGAATATCTACATCGTACATTGTGCCTTGTCTTGAGGCCTCCACTTTTGAGGAAATCATCTAGTCCTGAAGAAGAATGATGCAAGCCAGGATCATCGGATCTGGCCGCCGCTCCCCGCGCTCGATAAGAAAGCAGGAGTGGGGGAGTTTGACTACTCCTCCGCCCTAGTGCCTTAAAAACAAAGTATAACGTTTCGCACTGTCACACAGATTTCTGCTCAACTTCTTATTTTCGGTCGCCTAACAGTTCGCCGCTACTCACATAGGAACATTCTTCTGACTTTTTGGATGTTCCTGCTGCCGGGGGTCGAATAATTGTCAGTGGCGAACCGTTGGAGCTCAACTTCGGTAAGCTCCGATAACCAGCCTTATCGGCCCAAGTCATTGAAATAAAGTATTAGTTAGGCGTTTGTTCCTGACACCATCATCCCCGTCTTGCTCGATAACTACGTGTGACTACAGAGTTCGCCATTATCTATTATCTAACTCTTCTTTATTCTAAATTATCCCTTCCTTGGTCATCACGCAAGCCCCCTCCCGATCATTGTATGTGTGAGCGTGCAAGAACAACCGGTCGCCACCCCGATCTCGATTCTCCACGGCGATGCCCTCCTCGACTGTATACTCCACAAACAATCGTTTTTGAGCTCTGATGCTGCTCAAGCTGCTGCAGACCGTTGGGCAAGATGGGTGACTATGGAACAAAAGAAGTAGGGTCTGAATACAGTCGAAGCTATCCGGAAGACATCGATGTCATTCGGGAGCGCGAATACCCCTTGCTGAAAGGTTCGACTACTGGAGTCAGCTAGCCTTACACACAAGAAAGAGCAATATATTGACACCCTCGGCTTCTCTAGATACCACCTACCTTGATCATGCCGGGACGACCCTATATGCAAAGTCTCTGATCGACTCGTTTTCGCGTGACCTCACCTCCAACATCTACGGCAACCCGCATTCACTCTCTGCGCCCTCCCAACTGTCGACGCAGCGGATAGACGACACACGTCTACGAGCTCTTCGATTCTTCAACGCTGACCCCCAAGAATTCGATCTCGTCTTTGTGGCCAACGCTACGGCAGCTATCAAATTAGTCGCCGATGCCCTCCGTGATGCAACGCCCCAAGGGTTCTGGTATGGATACCATGTCGACGCGCACACGAGCTTGGTTGGGGCTCGTGAGCTCGCAGCGCTCGGGAGTCGATGCTTTATGTCCGACCATGAGGTCGAGCGCTGGATGTCAGAGTTGGATTCTGCCTCCGCTGAGGGCAACCGGCTGTTTGCGTTTCCTGCACAGTCGAACATGAACGGTCGTCGGTTTCCGCTCCAATGGTGTGGAAAGATCCGTACCATGTCTTCCCAGAGGGTCTATACCATGCTCGATGCTGCTTCCCTGGTCTCCACATCTCCACTCGATCTGAGCGACGCGGCAAACGCACCCGATTTCACGGCGCTCAGTTTCTATAAGATCTTCGGATTCCCGGATCTTGGGGCATTGATTGTCCGCAAGAGTGCAGGACAGATCTTCGATAAGCGGAGGTTCTTTGGTGGTGGGACGGTGGATATGGTTCTCACGCAAGAGACGCCCTGGCATGCGAAGAAGCAGTCTTCGATACACGAACGGCTGGAAGATGGGACTCTGCCATTTCATAACATCATCGCGCTGGATCTGGCTTTCGAAACGCACGCGCGCCTCTTCGGCTCGATGAGCAATGTCTCGTCGCACACGCGCTTCTTGACCAGGAGATTGCATGATCGTATGGTTGCTTTGCGGCATCATAACGGGGAGAGAGTGTGCCATGTTTATAAGTCGCCCCACGCGGACTATAGTGATTCGTCTTCGCAGGGTCCGATTCTGGCATTCAATCTGCGGAATAGTCAGGGTACCTGGATTGGTAAGTCCGAGGTGGAGAGACTGGCAGGCGTCAAGAACATTCAGATCAGATCTGGTACGCTTTGCAACCCTGGAGGCACAGCGGCTAGTCTGGATTGGACTGGTGCCGACATGCTCCGGCATTTCTCCCATGGGTTGCGTTGCGGTGACGATCATGACATTATGGACGGCCGACCGACTGGCATTCTGAGGGCCAGTCTTGGTGCGATGAGCAGTTTAAGGGACATCAACACTTTCGTGGCTTTCTTGGAAGAGTTCTTTGTGGAGAAGAGTCTCGACGTGTGTACTCTGGCACCCCCAGAGGTCAACAACCTCATCCAGCAGCCAGAGTTCTATGTGGAGAGTCTATCAATCTACCCTATTAAGAGCTGCGCCGCATTCAAAGTGCCTGACGGTAAACGCTGGGAGATCCACCCGGAGGGACTGGCATGGGACAGGGAATGGTGCCTGATCCATCAGGGAACTGGTGTGGCGCTCAACCAGAAGAGATATCCGCGCATGGCGCTGATACGGCCGGTCATCGACCTTGCTGGCGGGTTCTTGCGGATCACTTGCGGCGGCGCATCCTCTACACATGGAAAATCCCTAGAAATCCCCCTTCGTCGTGGGAACCTAAACCTCGTGTCCACCTCGCTATGTCAGAACTCCTCCAAGCCCTCCACCGTCTGTGGTGACCAAGTCATCGTGCAGGCCTATACATCGCACGAAGTCTCGTCTTTCTTCTCCAACTTTCTGGGTGTGCCATGCACCCTCGCGCGCTTCCCCCCACAATCGTCAACGACGAGATCTGCTTCCTCAACCGGGCCCCTCATCAATAGAAACTCGCCTCTGCGAGCGCGGATGACAATGCCCGGCTCCTTTCCGCAAGATGCCCAGCTGGCGTCGCCGCAGAATCCCATCCTCTTGTCCAACGAGAGTCCGATCCTCCTCATCTCGCGCTCCTCCGTCAACCGTCTGAACGAGGCGATCAAGCGCAACAACACCGCGAGCGGCGGCGGCGGCGGTAATGGCAGCAGCAACAAAAAAGCCGTCGCCGCCGATGTGTTCCGCGCCAACATCGTGGTCGCAGAGAGAATCCCCAGGTCGGCGAACGCCGAGAGGCCTTACGTTGAAGATGAGTGGCAGAGCGTGCGCATTGGTGGCCTCAACGGTGTCCCGTTCAATGTTTTGGGGTCGTGTCAACGGTGCCAGATGGTATGCGTGGACCAGTACACTGGCGTCCGTGGAGACGAGCCCTATTCGACGTTGGCGAAGACGCGGAAGGTTGGGAATAAGATTTACTTTGGACGGCATCTTGGGTTGGCTTCGTTGGGGGCCGTGGACGACGAGGAGGCCTCCGCCGCATCTCGGACGGTCATGGTTGGTGATACTGTGGATCCGTCTTTTGGCCCGTGACTGATTGTATAATCGGACTATGGGGCTACTTTTTGCATATGATTATAGGGCGTTTTAAGGGCAATTGGGTTGTGTGCAATACCAGATACCGGAGAAGCAGAGTGGAATTGAATATTGGGATAGGGCACTCAAATGCATGACTTGATATAGAACAATATAGCGATTTGTACAAACAGATAACTCCCGTTCCGAAACATGATGACGATGATGATGATGAATGAGGATGATGATCAATCAAAGCTCACCCGAAGAAGCGAGGGTGGGGGTTGGTCATGTAGCAACCTGAATCCATCCCAGGCCCTGGAAGTCAGCCCCCAATAACCTCCAAACATTAGTTGAGTTCGGAAAACCCGTATCGAGACGAGAAGCGCGGCAAAAAACGGGGTGCATAAAGGCCCCCCAAGAAGAAATGAAAGCGAGAGACCGCTCTATTTCTTGGGCCACTGCTTCCAACCACGACCATGACCTCTCTGTAGTTAAAACAAAAAAAGCATTAGCAATCCAATTCCATACACCCTCTCCTAATTACTAAAGCCCCAACCGATTTGGGTAAACAAGAAAACGTACCTGCTTCCACAACCGCACCATCTCGGGCATCTCGAGCATGGCCTTGCGCCGGTCCTCGAGGCGCGCCTCCATGGTGCGCTCCCACTTGTGGCCCTTGACCTTCTGCCCGACACCGGTGCCCTTGATGGCCAGGCCCTGGTTCTCGGCGCGGCGGGCCTCCTTGTACTCGGCCGACTTGCGGCTGGGCGGGAGCAGCTCCTCGACCCCGAACTGGCGGGCCAGCTTCACCAGCTCCGCCTGCCGGCGCAGACCGATCCGGGGGCCCTCCCACTTCCGCTCGCCCAGCTTCCGCGGCAGGAACGGGTTGAGCTGGCCCTTGGGGCCCTTCCACAGCAGCGCGTCCGAGTACTTGTGGTCCGGCGGCTGGTAGCCCTTCGCTTCGCGGTTCGGGGTGTAGGGGGATGGGAGGAGGGATTCGGTGATCGCGTCGGTGATGGGCGTGGTGCTGGAGGTGGAGGTGGTGGTTGTGGTTGTGGTGGTGGTGGTCGTCGTCGTGGTCGTGGTGTTAGGGGCGCCGGCGCCGGCTTGAGCAAGTGCAAGTGCAGCTGGCTTGGGGACTGTGATCGGAGGGCGGACGGTCGTGGAATAGATTTGCGGAGGATAGCGGGCGAAGAAGTTGCGGAGGCGCGTGGGCAGTTTGCTCGCCAGGCTGCTGGCGGCTTGCGGGGTGGCCATTGTGCTTCGGTGGGTTACTCCTCGAAGAATTGGAGGTGGGGAGGGACTTGTGAAAGGAGGGGAGGGGAGGGGAAGGAGGAGGAGGAGGGAAGAGTTAAGCGCTGAAGTCGTGCTCAGGAAACTGCCGCGCTATCTTTTCCACCACTTGTGATTTGCTTTGCATTCAAAACCCAGACGGTTGAAAGAGCGGCGCTAGTCTGTTTTGGGAGGGAAGAGAGAGAGCGGAGAGAGAGAGAAAAACAAATGGAAGCCTGAGGCAGCAGAAGGCAGCCAGAAGGTCAGTTAGATCGGGCTGGCGGAAGCGACGGGCAGAAAAATGACCGCCCGCAGAAGGGAAACTTCAGAGAAAGCAGAAATCCGAAGAGGCTTAGTTCCGCAAGTACGTAGACTAGCAAAGGTCCAAGGTTCATCCGTCTTCGCTACTTACGCTGGTCGCCTTTCCTCCTTGCGGGATTCACCAACTTTGACTCCTTCTTCTCCACCCCCCACCCCCCCTTGTCGTCGGATCGTGTCTCTTGTTGTTGTTTTGTTGCTTTTGTTGATCTCTCCTCCTTTCTCGATTATCTCTCCCCGGATTCTTAGGAGTTTCAACTTCAAATCCGTACAACGACCACCCCCGCTCATACTGCTGCCATCATGGCGGACTACAATTATGGAGGCTCCGAGGAAGAGAATGCGGAGTTGAGGAAGCTTGAAGTTGAATTGGTATGAAGTGGTTCTCCCGTCCAGCTCTTTGCGCTCTCTGGAGGTTACTCTAGGACCCCACGAGCTGACCCTGCCTTTTCCTTCTAGCTCGATGACCCCGATAACTTCGAGACATGGGAGAAACTTGTTCGCGCTGCCGAGGCTTTGGAGGGTGGCATCAACCGCAACTCCAACCCCCAAGCTATTACCACCGTCCGCAATGTTTACGATCGCTTCCTGGCCAAGTTCCCTCTGCTGTTCGGATACTGGAAGAAGTATGCCGACCTGGAATTTTCCCTCACCGGAACCGAAGCTGCAGATATGGTACGCATGGCTCACCTGCTTCCTAACGATCTGTCGAGTGGTCGCTAACAGCTACAGGTCTATGAGCGAGGTGTTGCTAGCATCTCCCCCTCGGTCGATCTCTGGACCAACTACTGCTCCTTCAAGGCCGAGACTTCTCACGACGCTGACGTGATTCGAGAGTAAGTATAACTAGAGCTGCTTTTTCCTTTCCTTGCCCTCGTAACCATGATCAACGCAGCACGGACATTGTTGTTGTGCCGAACCTGCGGGGTGCAAATCTCCGCTGGCAACAGTTCCCTCAATGATGGGTGAGATTTCACCTTACCCGGGTTCCGAAGAAAAAGAAAACTGGAGTTTACTTCTCACCCATGGCTTATTCAGGCTGTCCTATCTCCCTCCCCCCCTTTGAAAGAAGAAGTTTTGAATTATCTGATTTGACGTCTCAACCACCTTGCCCTGCACGAATATCATCGGCTGTGTTCGGTGACGCCTACTCTGCGCTCGGTGCAGAAGGAGGAAAAACAGACGTCCCCACCCACCGTTCTCACCACTTGGTTGTTCAATTGTTCGGACTCGCAGGCATTGGAAATCTGATGCTCATGTTTGCTATCCTTGCCATCTTCTCCCCTTCCTCCCCCGCATCCTCCTCCCACTCCCTCCTATTGGTCTTTGACCTTCAGCGTCGAATCGCTTGCTAACCTTTCTCTCGCTTGTGCTCAGGCTTTTTGAACGTGGTGCTAGCAGTGTCGGCTTGGACTTCTTGGCACACCCGTTCTGGGATAAGTACATCGAGTTCGAGGAACGTGTGGAGGCCGTTGACAAGATCTTCGCCATCCTGGGTCGGGTTATCCACATCCCCATGCACCAGTATGCCCGGTACTTCGAGCGGTATAGACAATTGGCGCAAGCTCGGCCCGTTGCCGAACTGGCATCCCCCGAAACGCTGTCACAATTCCGTGCGGAGCTCGACGCCGCTGCAGGTCAGATTGCTCCCGGTGCAAAGGCCGAGGCTGAAGTTGAAAGAGATCTCCGACTGCGCGTCGATAGTCACCACCTTGAGATTTTCTCCAAGACCCAGACCGAGACCACCAAGCGTTGGACTTACGAGTCGGAGATCAAGCGTCCATACTTCCATGTTACTGAGCTGGATGAAGGTCAGCTATCGAACTGGAAGAAGTACTTGGATTTCGAGGAGTCCGAGGGATCTTATGCTCGTATTCAGTTCCTGTACGAGAGGTGTCTCGTGACTTGCGCTCACTACGATGAATTCTGGCAGCGTTATGCCCGCTGGATGGCCGCTCAGCCCGGCAAGGATGAGGAAGTCCGCATTATCTACCAACGTGCAAGCTGCTTGTACGTGCCTATTGCCAACCCGACAACGCGGCTTCAGTATGCCTATTTCGAGGAGATGAGCGACCGTGTGGATGTTGCCAAGGAAATTCACGAGGCCATCCTGATTCATCTGCCCAACCACGTGGAGACGATAGTGTCTTTGGCCAACATGTCGCGTCGCCACGGCGGACTTGAAGCTGCCATTGAGGTGTACAAGACTCAGCTTGACTCGCCACAGTGTGACCTCGCCACAAAGGCGGCTCTCGTCGCGGAATGGGCTCGCCTTCTGTGGAAGATCAAGGGCTCGTCCGAAGAGGCTCGTCAAGTCTATCAGAAGAACCAGCAATATTACCTGGACAGCCGTCCGTTCTGGACGAGTTATCTTCACTTCGAACTCGATCAGCCCACGAGTTCGACCTCCGAAACGGTCCAATACGAGCGCATCAAGCAAGTCGTCGATGAAATTCGGACCAAGAGTTCCCTTCCCGCTCAAGCAGTGCGAGAGCTTGTGCAAGTCTACATGGTTTATCTCCTGGAACGCGGCACCAAGGATGCGGCGAAGGAGTACATGACCCTTGACCGGGAGGTCCACGGGCCTGCCTCGGTTTCGCACATGCAGGCTACTGAGGCGGCGGCAGCAGCACCAGCCCCGGTGGCAGCCGCCCCGGTGACCCCAGCAACGGCGGAAGTAGTTGTTCCTACACCCCAAGCCAACCCTTATGCTGGTTACTACCAGCAGGCGCCTGTCAACGGCGACGCGTGAGCTCTTCCCCAGACTCACTATATCAGCCTGAGCTTGCCATAGCCCAGGTCTGTTAACTCCTGATATCCCTTTTACGGTGGTTGGTTTCCCTTTTCCCAATCCAAGCCGGCAACGGCTTGTCGATGTGTAGAACAATAGCCCCTCAATCTATTTTCCCAACCTATTTTATTGATTATGCAGCTTTCAGCGACTCAGGCGTGCTGAGGGAGGGAGGAGCAAGTGATCTGTCTAGTTGGGGGCAAACGAATCAGCCTGCTCCCTGACTGCTTCCCAACGATTTCATGTGAAACTGGGTGGCCTATTATGAGAATTGGACACTGTCTCCATTGTATTCTAATGCGTAGGTAGCTTTTACTTTTTACTTTTCCTCTTATAACCCTAACCACCAATGCAAATGACCGTGTTGTAAATGTCCAGCTTCCAGGTCAGCTCCTCGACTCAGTGCCTTACCACAGACCCTTGGGATCGAATAACTAGCAAGTGGATCCATGCCCAGTATTACCGAACCATCCAATGACAGAGCTGATTTCTTCTCGTAATCTACTTGAATAAGATATTTATGTGTGATTGGACCCGGCTGGCAATTTCAGCCTCAGCTAGTAGACTTAGCAGACTTCAAGGTTAGTAACTGAATGTCAGCTCGAGTTCCCATGCTTATGATAGGCCCCACCGTTGTAGGAGGGTCGGGATTATCGATTAGTGCTGGAGATGGCGCTGTCAATTTGCGACATGAGAAACTATTTAGAATCCTTGTCTCGTATCTTCCTCCCTCAGTATCTTTCCCTAATGTTTTTCTTTTTCCAGAAGGGGTCATCGCGAAGAGAGACCAATTAACACAACGTCAATGATGGCCGTGTCAATCGACCTGGCTGACCTCACCAGACAGCATGGCCCTCTTCTTGCCTTGGCTGGCGTGAGCGCCCATCTCCTCTATTGGATCCGTGGGGAACGCAACAACAAAGAGATCCGTACCTGGTTGTTGTGGCATGTGATTGTGAATATCGCCCTTATGGGCTTCACTCTGGTGAACACCCACCCGCAGCAGTCTCCCTGGAGTATCGGCGCATTCCTCCGCGGTCTCTCCGCGATATCTGCACTAAACCTCTGCTTCTACGCTCCTCTTTTCGCCTCCGTTCTGATCTACCGGGCGTTCTTCCACCGCCTCCGTCGTTTCCCAGGCCCAGTCGCCCTGAAGCTATCGAAGCTCGTAGCGGCGTATGGCAACATCGGAAAGGAGCGAGACTTTGAGCGCATCTGGGATCTCCACAAGCAGTATGGCGATATCGTCCGAACGGGGCCCCAGGAACTCAGCGTCTTGTCGGCCGACGCAATCGAGGTCATCTACGGCGCGTCGAGTCGGTGTACCCGGGCCATCTGGTATGATCGCTTAAAAGCGGCGGGCGATTTCTCCGAGGACTTTGCCGTGTTTCATATGCGGGATCCGGTAGCTCATACGCAGCGCAGAAAGGCGCTCTGGGATAAGGCGTTCAATATTCGAGGTTTGTGTGTTCTTCTTTTCTCTTTTGGCATTAAGAGTGATCGATGAGAGATGGGCCGAGGGTCGAAGTGAGGGTGTGCTGACTTTTTGCTACTGAACTTTAGCTCTCAAGTCCTATCAGCCTGTGGTCGTCAAGACCACGGACCGGTTCCTAGATGCTCTACGTCAGCGAGCTGGTCAAGTGGTCTCTGGTCCGGATACAATGCAGTTGCTAAGTTATGACCTCATGGGCCTCATTGGCTGGGGGTATTCGTTCGAGAACATTGAGAACTGGAAGCTCAATCCGGCACTGCACTTTGTGAGGCAGGTCACTGCCGGCCAGCGGATCATCTCGCAGGCGCCGTGGCTGATGAGTCTTCTGGTTAACCTGCCTGGAGCAGATTCGCCGCTTCAGCGTTACGGCGCGTGGATCGAGGCGCGGATCCGGGAGAAGATGCAGCGGTTGCACACGCCGGAACATGAGGCTACTGATGCGATGAGTAAGATGATGCCGGCGATGGTGAATTTGTCGAGGTCAGCACTGTATAGTGAGGGGGAGTTAATGGTCATTGCCGGAGGGTATGTTTCCTACCCCTAAATTTCTGCATATGTCCTTCCCGGGACTATTGGGAGAGAGATAATACGGATCTGACTCGACAATAGAGACACTACGGCCACCACCATGGCGACTGTGATCTTTCACCTCGCACGCAGCCCTCTTGTTCAACGCAAGCTCCAAGCGGAGCTCGACGAAGCTGCACAGCGTCTTCGAGAGCAAAGTAACGATCAAGAGAGTGACTCGGAGCCTGAAGCCTCATACTACCGCTCTATCACTTCTCTTCCTTATCTTAACGCCTGTATCAATGAAGCCCTCCGCCTCCAGCCCCCTGTCCCTGGAGAAATCCCACGCAAAACGCCCCCCGAGGGTATTCACGTCCCATTGCCTACTTCTACCAATGCATCCTCATCTTCATCAACAACCACCGTCTTCATTCCCGGCGACACGATTATCAGCGTCCCTGTTCTCCCCGTCCAGCGAGACCCCCGCAACTATGTCCGTCCCGAGGAATTCATCCCCGAGCGCTGGACCGGCGAAGAGCCAGAGCTGACGCTGAAAAAGTCAGCCTTCATGCCGTTTGTCGCGGGTGCGTATACCTGCGCTGGCAGAGGGCTGGCCTACATTGAGATGCGGATTGTGTTGGCGAAGTTGTTCGAGAGGTTTCAAGTAAAGCTTGCAGAGGGGGAGGATGGGACGCGGTTCTTGAGAGAGACAAAAGATTGCCATGTCGTGCACCTGGGAGACTTTGAGGTTGTTTATGAGGAGAGACGCTGAGCTGCCTGGTTACTTCGTTTACTGGGTTCGTTTTGCATTTGTTGGTGTAGGTGCTGAGAAGTGCTTCGTTCTGGTCAAATATCGAGTTGTAAATAATAGTACATTGAGGACTTTAGTCAAGAATAAAAGTCTTCATCTATATGCAACTTGCATCAGGTAGATATTCATGATAAAAACAATAGGTGGTGACTGTATACTTCAACATACTCTGCACGTGACTGACTGCGGTCCCAGCTTCTTTGCGCGTCCGTAGAAATTCTAGACTCCGCGGCGCCGCCTGCCGCCTTTGATAGTCGGTCATATCAAACGCCTACCAGCGGCGTGCTGTATTTCCTCCCTCTTTCTATCTCCACAACTCACCATGGATGGTATAATCACTAACGGTTCGTTGGAGACTCCCCCTCCTCCTATGCCCCCTCCAGAACCCATCGAACGTCCGCCTTCTCCTCCCCCGCCTCCAGAGGACTCCTCCGCGCCTCCTCCGCCGCCAGACACGTCCGCACCTCCGCCACCGCCGGAGGACCTTCCACCTGCTCCGCCACCAGAGCCAGAATCCAAGAAGAAGAAAGTCGGATGGGGAGCCCCGAAACGACCGGCTGCTACGCCTCTGAGTGTCGAGGAGCTGGTGCGCAAGAAACGAGAAGCTGATGCTGCAGCTGCCAAGGTAGATTTCACTCGGGCTTCGTTTAAATCAAGCTACACAGCTAACAATCCCCAGCCCAAATTTCTGTCGAAGAAGGAACGAGAAAAGATCGCCCTCGAGAAGCGCCAAAAGGAAGTCGAAGCTGCGCGCAGACTCAAGACCGATCAGACGTCCTCCGAGACGACCGACAACACATCCTTCAACCGCTCATCAGAGTCCCGCCACAATGACAACTCCCGCTCGATCCCTACCGGTCCACGAGCCATGCGCAACTCTTCCGATGCGCCCAGCGCGCCGGCTTCGATGCGCAACACCAAGAACTACGATCTCTCGCCGCCCCCTCCCCCTAAACCGATGTCGTATGGCTTGACCAGCGGCCCTGGCAAACAACATAAGAGCAGAAGAAGCGCCGTGGATGACGCTGAGGAGGAACAAGCAGCACAAGCTGCCCTTATCAAGCAACGGTACATGGGCGCCGACCAGACGTCGAATTTCTCCGCGAAGAAGAAGCGCAAGCGCACGACGGATCGCAAGTTCAACTTCGAGTGGAATGCTGAGGAAGACACTAGCGGCGACTACAACCCGCTCTACAAACACCGACACGAAGCCAACTTCTTCGGCCGTGGCCGTCTAGCTGGCTTCGGTGACGATGTGGCTGACGCAGTGGCCAAGACCTACGCGCGGGCTTTAGAGGACCGCGACCGCGAAGCTGGCAGCATCCGCGCGCGCGAAATCCTGGAGATGGAGCGCCGTCGCCGCGAAGAGAGTACCCGCAACCAGCTGGACAAGCACTGGTCCGAGAAGAAGCTCGAGCATATGCGCGAGCGTGATTGGCGTATCTTCAAGGAAGATTTCAACATTAGTACCAAGGGTGGGAGCGTGCCCAACCCAATGCGCTCGTGGGATGAATCGGGACTGCCCTCGCGTCTACTGGAGCTTATCGGCCAGGTTGGCTATAAAGAACCCACTCCTATCCAGCGTGCGGCTATTCCCATCGCTATGCAGAATCGCGACCTCATCGGTGTGGCTGTCACTGGTTCCGGTAAAACGGCGGCATTCCTTCTCCCACTTCTCTGCTACATTGCGGAGCTTCCTCGGATTGACGAATTCGAATGGCGCAAGAACGATGGACCTTACGCTATTGTGCTGGCACCGACTCGTGAATTGGCGCAACAGATCGAGATTGAAGCCAAGAAGTTCACCCAACCGCTTGGATTCAACGTCGTCAGTATCGTCGGTGGACACTCGTTCGAGGAACAAGCCTACAGTCTCCGTGATGGTGCGGAGATCATTATCGCTACGCCTGGTCGTCTCGTCGACTGTATCGAGCGCCGGATGCTCGTCCTCAGTCAATGTTGCTACGTGATCATGGATGAAGCCGATCGGATGATCGATCTGGGTTTCGAAGAGCCTGTCAACAAAATCCTGGATGCCTTGCCTGTTACCAACGAGAAGCCGGACACCGACGAGGCCGAGAACTCCATTGCAATGAGCCGCCATATCAACTCGAATCAACCGTCCCATCTCCAACGCTACCGTCAAACAATGATGTACACGGCCACCATGCCTTCAGCCGTCGAACGCATCGCCCGCAAATACCTCCGCCGTCCGGCCATTGTGACCATTGGTAGTGCCGGTGAAGCCGTCGATACAGTCGAGCAGCGCGTGGAACTGATCGCAGGAGAAGACAAGCGCAAGAAACGCCTCGGCGAGATCCTGTCGTCAGGCGATTTCCGGCCTCCGATTATTGTGTTCGTCAACATCAAGCGCAACTGCGATGCCATTGCTCGGGAGATCAAACAGTGGGGCTTCTCGTCTGTCACTTTGCACGGTAGTAAGACGCAAGAACAGCGTGAGGCGGCGCTGGCATCCGTTCGGAACGGGTCGACCGATGTGTTGGTGGCGACCGACCTGGCGGGTAGAGGTATCGATGTGCCAGATGTCAGTCTGGTCATTAACTTCAACATGGCGACGAGTATCGAGAGTTACACGCATCGTATTGGTCGTACGGGTCGTGCTGGAAAGAGTGGTGTTGCCATCACCTTCCTCGGGAACGAGGATTCCGACGTTATGTATGTTCCTTCTTCTCCATGTTCTTCCAGTTCTTGTCAGATACCTCGTCTTCAGCTTGGTATCCCCCCACTTCGTTTACTGACTTGTCCTCTGCAGGTACGACCTCAAACAGATGCTCATCAAGTCGCCTATCTCCCGGGTTCCCGAGGAGCTTCGCAAGCACGAGGCGGCGCAGTCCAAGCCGACGCGAGGCATGCCCAAGAAGATCGAGGAAAGTACGGGAAATGCTGGCAAGGGTGGGTGGTAGTTCTATGTTCCCAGAGTGGGTGGGAAGACAATATACCTTACTATATCATACTTTATCCTTACGCATATCAACCACGTCAAATGTGTAGAGCCGCAGCCCCGATAGAGCTGGGGTATGCGCACCTATTTATCATTATCAGTGAAATTTTTCACATCTCCTACCGCTACATCTCTTATTGATGTCTACAGACTCAAGCCAACCTTGAAAGGTACAGTCCATCTATGCATCACATTTGAACTCAACAGACACACGCCTGAACCTCATAGTCAGGGTTGAGTAGATCCTCACGAACAACGTATCAGGCGATAGGACCTTGTTTTTTGAGCAGAAGTACCAGTCAGTGGTTTCAACAAGCGCAGACAGACTTCTCATTGAGAAAGACACTTTCAAGAAAGACACAGCGAACATTCCCCGTTGTCTTGCCAGTAATTCTACCCTCCCAACTCCCAACTCAGCTATCTTTCACATCTGCAACATTCACCACCAGCAAATGACACCAACCATCCAGCCAACCTTCTCGAGTCCAACAAACACAAAACCATAAATCTCCTCTCCCTACCCTTCTTCTATCTTTCTCTTTTCCTCCCACTCTCCTCATCCCCCAACCATCTTTCTTCATCCCTCCCCGCACGATACTACCCTCTACACAACCCAAGGACGAGAACCCGAACCTCAACCTCAACCACAACAACACCTACAACTACAAACACACGTAACTCAAATCCAAGACCAAGCAACAAGATTTCAAAATGCCGGTGCAATGGACCTCCGAAGCCGACGCAAAGGTTTTAAACTCCTCCCCCTCTTCCCCAGCTGAATCTCCTTACCATGCAAGCATACAACTAACGCCTCTATCCCGAAAATCCAGCTCTTCGTCGGCGTCCTCAACCAATGCCACGGCCAACTGAAACTTGACTGCCAGAAACTGGCCCAGCACATGGGGGAAGGTATGCTTTTCTTTCACCTAAATTTGACTTAAGTCTCTTTCCTTCTCTATTCTTCGTTTCCCTCATTCCGCTTCCACCTGCGCCGCCGTTCCACCCCCCCCCCCCCCCCCCCCCCCCCCCCCCCCCCCCCCCCCCCCCCCCCCCCCCCCCCCCCCCCCCCCCCCCCCCGGCCCACCAGCCTTTCCCTCTGAAATATGCCCAAACTAGCAACCCCACTAACTACTTGAAAAGACTGCACCGCCTGCGCCATCGAACAACGCATAGCCAAGCTCAAGAGACATGCTAAAGCCCTCGGCTCGAACTCCACCGATACAACCCCTATCACGACCCCGGCTAAGAAGAACGGAGCAGCCACCACCACCGCCGCCGATGCGGAGACTCCCACCAAGCCCAAGCGTAAGGCCGGGACTGGGGGTGGGGACCATGCGAATGGTGAAGGCGCCGCGGTGCCGAAGAAGGTGGCCAAGAAGGTGAAGGTGAAGGTGCAGGTGCAGGAGGAAGGGGTTGGGGAGGAGGGGTTTGGGTTTTTCAAGCTGGAGAAGAAGGATTTGGGCGGGGTGAAGAAGGAGGAGGAGGAGGAGGATGGGGCTATGGCTTGAAGAGTCTTGGAGATGATGGCTCTTGATATTTGATGGGATTTATTGGGGGATGTGCTACTGGGGTTTCGGGGTTGGGATTTGGGGTTTCCTGGATTTACGTGAAGGAATTAAGTAAAATGGCATGGGGAATGGGGATTTGTTCTTCTTGTGTTCATATTTCCAAGGAGAATGAATTTAGATTAGGTTTGCTTTACATGGAGCGGAAGATTCATATAATCATCTCGCACATTGATAGCTATTGGCTACACTTCCCGAATCCGTTTCTTGTAGGCTTTGGTGTCCCCGATAGGCCTGCTGGCCATGTAAAGCAAGAACAAGGGGATGTTCTTCTCGCGAAGTTCTCGCGTGGTGAAGTCGTAGAGATGGCTCTTGCGGATCACCAGGTCTTCGCCGTCGAAGTGCGCCTGGAGTATCCTCGCTTGGCGCTGTCTCATGCATGATATCATGTTGATCTATATCAAAGATGTGAGTGGTTCAGCCTGTGGGTGGTCTATGAGAGCTGGTTACAAAGAAGTCTCCTACCGGGATGATCGTATGCTCCTTCAGAGCCGCTCGACTCAGCCGTGTCCTCATAATGCCCACCAGGGCCAGGACTTCGGTGCGCAGCAACTTCTCCTCCGGAGCTACCTTGTGCGTCACGATGAGACTGACATGTGGATGTCCCTTGCGCGCACACCACGCCTCCTCGAACTTGAGGTCCGCCGCGTGCGGAGCCCCCGGCCCCGTGTCCGGATCCGCCGAGGCGCTGAAATCCATGTACCGCGATCGAATGACGCCACCTTCAGAGGTTCTGTGAGAGGCTCCCTCCGTTTGTCCCCACTATCAGCAATGCTAAGTCGTTGCAACAAGTCAAATATGTAAGTTCACTTAGCTGACCCCTCAGTCCACAGCGAGAACTGCTCCAATGTATCACGGCCCAGCGGGCCCTCGCGCAGGTACTCGAGGAATTCGTCCGCGAGGACCGCACTCAGGAAGCCGTCCTGGTCGGTCCCCTTCCGGTCGAAGCGCGCCCAGAGCTTCCCCTTGACTCGGGCGGAATCCCGGGTGGTGGGGTCCGTCATGTCGACCGGGTGAGCCTCGAGGCGCCGCAGCGGCCACGGGTGGAAGTATACGGCTTCGTCTGTCTCTTCGGGTAAGAGCCCATCTGGGCGGAGAGGGAGCTCGACGCAGTCGATCCCGAGGTCCCTGGCTTCGGATTCGGAGAAAGACTGCAACTGTGACGCTTGGACCCGGCGGTGGAGTTCTCGCAGATGCGCGCGGGTGGTGTTGCGCGCCTTGTGATGCATCTCCTCGGTGGAATTGCGCGCCACGGCCGGTGGTGGTGGTGGTCGCTGGCGCGGGCGCTGTCGCCGTGCCTTGGGGTCCGGGGGTCGGGCCCGGCGCTCTAATCTCGCTGGTGACTGTTGGTCTCGCGAGACCAGAAACCTTGCGCAGATGCATTTGATCGGCATTCTTGTTGTATCAAGTTTAGTGCAGGTGGTGGTTGGCTGCGGAACGCCCTACGCTAGTTGTCAGACAGAGCAGTAGATTAATTCATTCCTATAACGCTGGCGAGGAATAAATTGATACTTGACAAGACTACTCCGCTCGTTGATTGGGATAGGCACCGACCTTGCGCAACACTGTGTTCCAACGCGCAGGCAATTGATCTCGAAAGCAAATGGAAATAGGTTTTCAGGCTTCTGCTAGTCTTCCAGAAGAATGTTCAATAGAGTGGCTATCAGACCACCGATTTCTATAGCAAAGTTGATTCGGAGAGTATACAAAGTTGATGTCAGTTGATGGTATTTGCTGTCAGCCTAAACAGGAAGGGATGATGCTTCAAGCAAAGCAAGCATAGCTGGTCACGGGACATGCCGCCTACAGTAGTACTCACTCACTTTCTCCAACACTCCAACACTCGACCACTCATTCATCCACCGGCCATTTCTCAATCCAGGATATCTTTCTCTCTCCAGTCAATGTCTCTGTGTCTCTGACTGTGCTGACTATGATTCTCTGGCTTCGTTCGAGGTCTCGTATTCTCCTTCGGCTTGCTCCATCAATGGCCGTGCAATGCTCCATAACATACCTCGGTATCGGAAATCCAACCGGGCTCTGCTCTTCGATACGTCACATTACTCATTAACCTCAAACTGATCAGTCTACACTTCCCTAAGGGATTAAAAATGCCGATCAAGGATTACTAGCGAACCATAGATCAGCTTTTAAGGGTTTACTTCGGATATGGATTCTGGAACAAACGCCCTGTTCCTGATCAGCATGCCATCATCGGCCGTGTTTGGTTCGATCCCCGTGCACACACTAGTATGTACGAGTAATAGACTAGACCCTGATCGCTCGTCTCATTTTTGAGACCCCAACACCAAAGCCATGCACATGGCCAGAGAAAATATCGGTGCCTGGCAGACCCAGGCGGCTTGGCCGGCGGACTTTTCTACCACCAGCGGACCCAGATCTACCCCCCGACCCAAAAAGTGGCCCGGTGCTGAAACACGCCGTTGGCCGTCGAGCGAATAGCCTCATCCACCGATTTCGGACAAGCCACCCGTTCAGGGTCTGTTCAGGGTCCTCGGTAGCGTACATCCGTGGTTGCCAACCGTATCAAGGAGGTGGTCCGTGTTTTTTTTCTTCTCATGGGGGACTGTTGAACTGTCTGCGACAGTATGAAACGAGAATCGTGCATGAAACAAGCTACACATCCAGAAAATTCATTCTATCTCGGCATCCAGAAAAAAACACCCCTCGACGACATGTGAACTAGTCCCAATCATCGGGATATGGGAAAATTGCATAAATAGGTTCGCGATGGAACTTGGTCTGGTTGATGCTTGAGTGATTCGGAAGGCACCCCCAGTCCCAAAAGCACCCAACTACCCACGATGAAGCTTCCATTGTTCTTCCTCGGCCTCATGGGCCTTGCAGCGGCCACCCCAATGGGTCTCGAGACCCGTCAGTGTATGGTTTCGCTGCTTTATCCTTCCTTCGGACATCAGTGCTAAGTATGCTGCAGTCAGTTCTGGAAACGAACTCCGCGACGGCTCTTGCAAGCCCATCATCTTCATCTTTGCGCGCGCATCTACGGAGCCGGGTCTCCTTGTAAGCCACATCTCTCTACCCCTTTTATCTGTACTCTAGCTAACAGTAACAGGGTATCTCAACTGGTCCGGCCGTTTGCAACAACCTGAAGATGGCCAAGGCCGGCCAAGTCCTCTGCCAGGGCGTCGGTCCCGCCTACACAGCCGACCTGGTGTCCAACGCCCTGCCCGGTAACACTTCCCCAGCGGCCATCAGCGAAGCCAAATCTCTCTTCAACCTTGCTGCATCCAAGTGTCCCAACAGTCAAATCCTGGCCGGTGGATATAGGTAAGCCCGCTCCTTCACCACTCGATCAAAACCACCCTCCCAATAACGTTTACTAACGACAAATCCGATCTATATAGTCAAGGAACAGCGGTGATGGACGACTCCATCAAGGAGCTTGAAGACAGCGTCAAGGACAAAATTAAGGGCGTGGTCCTCTTCGGCTACACCCGGAACGCCCAAGAACATGGCCAGATCCAGAACTTCCCCAAGGACAAGGTCAAGATCTACTGTGCCGCCGGTGACATGGTCTGTGACGGCACGCTGCTCGTGCTTCCCGCGCACTTCTCGTACATTGCCAACACTGGCGAGGCCTCGCAGTGGTTGGAGTCGCAGCTGGGAACCACCTCTACGTCCACTACGTCGTCCGGGACCACTGGCTCGAGCACCAGCAGCGGAAGCTCCCAGTCATCCGCCGCTTCTTCAGGATCCTCCGGGTTGTCTGGGCTTGGCGGGCTGAGCTCGCTCTTCGGTGGCGGTAGCAGTGGGTCGAGTGACAGCTCGAGCGGACTGGGATCGTTCTTGTAGACGATTTCCAGCCAACCTGGTGAGGAAGTAGGACGTTCGAGCGGGCAAGTTGGGATAGGGAAGCTTGTGGTCAACGATTGGGTGTTGGGCTGGCTGGGAAATCTTCTCGAGGCGTTTTGTTTCTTCTTCTTATTCTTCTTTTCCTTCATTCCTTTCTCAAGCTCTGACCTATTGAGTGATTTTCTGGTTAGATCAGATGATAGCAGGTTCTATCTTGAATGGTAACATATTAGAAAAGAACTTTGGACTGGCTAACGCAGATCAGTAAAGTACGGAGTACAGTATATGACTATCGTCCTTTTTGAGCCCGAGCAGTACTTGCTACGCTCAAATAACCATCAACTCGCTCGCGAAGAGGAAGCGCATGAGTCACAGACATTGCAATCCCAGCCCGGAGCAACCAACGCCGACATTGAGCTTTTATTGGTCCATTTCAACTCTATGTAACAATTTGACCGATTTTGTAGAAACAAAAAAAAGAAAAAGTATATACCGCTCTGTCAACGACAGCGTCATCATACAGTTACTATGTATCGCCTCAAGAACGCCATGAATTATGCAACACAGGTACACACATCCAAAAGAAGAAGTAAAAAGAAAAAAAAAAAAAGAATCCCCGGATTAGGGCAAAGAAGAGATGTAATATATACGCTCAAGAAAAGATAGGGAAAAAAACCGCAAAGAACACATGAAGGCTGAAGCGGAATCGAGATGTCTAGCCGTAGCGTGCACTCAGGCTGGCGAACGCGTCCGGGCTGTGGCGGCCACTCTGGAAGCCATTGATGTCCACACTCTGCTGGCTCATGTGGCCGCGAGGAAACCCGCCTGCTGATGTCGCGGGGCGGTTGTTCATTGCGAAACCGGCCGTGGGCTGGGGAGCAGCCTGGGGCATAGCCATCTGGTACGGTGCAGCAGGGGCTGCTGGAGCGGCGGCTGGAGCGGCGGTGAAGAAGGGGTTCCGTGTCCCTGTCGCTTGGGGATCGGTGGCGCCGGGCTGTTGGAAGGTAGGTGCGGGTTGTTGATAGTGGGACGGTTGTGGCGGGTTCATCGGGACTGATTGGGCTGGATTGACGGCCGCGGAGGGCTGTTGGGTTTGGGGGTGTTCGGGGATCGTAGGGGGTTGGGGAGAGAGGTTATACAGTGCAAGAATGCTGTTCTTGTCGACACGGGCTGTGTGCTGCGGATACAGATGCTGGGCAGGCATCTGGTACCCGTACTGCGCTGGAGCGGGATATCCTGCACTCTGCGGCGTGGGCGGCGCATTCATCATCTGGTACGGGTTCATGGAGGTTTGCCCTGGTTGCGTGGGCGGCACTTGGAGCTGGGGCTGCGCTTGCGGCTGCGGCTGCGGCTGTTGCTGTTGCTGCTGGAATGGCGAAGGCTGGCCAAATGGCGACGTCGCAGACATGATAGGCATGGTGTTCGCATGTCGCGGAGGTCCAAATGGACCGGCTGACGCCTGGTTTTGCGCCTGCATGGATGGTTGTTGTGATGGAGCCTGTCCGAAGAAGGGGTTGCTTGATCCCATGTTGGGGTTAGGGCTCGCACCCGGAGTGGTCAGGCTGGCCTGCGGCTGAGCTCCGGTTTGGAAGAAGGGGTTGTGGCTACCGTCCAATATCTGTGGGGATGCGACGTATCCACCCTGGTTCAAGGTAGAAGCTGCGGGAGGCGCCTGCTGATAAAGAGGCTGAGGAAGTGAGGACTGTCTGTACGGGTAGCCTCCAGTAGAGTGTGGAAACAAGGGCTGGGCGACCTGCAGGCCCTGAAACGACTGCTCAAGCGGCTGCATAGAGGCCGACTGAGGCAACTGTTGCTGTTGCTGCTGCTGTGGTGGTTGCGGTTGCGGCTGTGCATCGAAAGGGTTGAAGTTGCTGCTGGGCTGGGCTGCTGGCCTTGAGTCTAATTGATCGAAGGGATTGCCGAATTTGGAGGAATCGACGCTAGGAGTAGAAGCAGAAGCAGAAGCAGGTGCTCGCACCACAGAACCGTTGCCCTCTCCCAGCCTCATCAACGTCTCAATGGTCTTATCAAGGTTCCCATTCAATTCGCGGAGAGCAATAGCATTCCGACGCTCATTTGTGAACCCCATATCCCTCAGGGTAGCCAGTTTCGAGTCGAACGACGGATCCCCCGAAGCCTTCCTTGCACCTAGCGCCGGCGAAGGTGAATCGAATCTGTCCGATTGAGGAGAGGAGGCGCTGCGGTTGGAGATGCGGTTGAGATTCGTTGCGGATGAGGCCGAACGAAGGCCGAAGCCAAACGGCCTGGCGGGCTTTGGAGGCAAGGGAGGCGGCGACCCCTCCGGAGACCTATCATACCCCGAGTCATGACGACTCGGAGGTTTCTGTTTGTTCTCGTCTAGAGACCGATGCTGATACTTCTGCCGGATGAATCGCTCCATGCACGAGTCGGACTCATCAACGTCGGTCGGGACGGGTGGCTTCACGTTCTTAGGATTGAATATTTTGTTCATGATGTTGTTACCGTGCGATTTCATATTCTAGCATCCATCAAACCCATCACGAGTCAGACCAGGACAACTTGGGCTGGTGGGGTAGCTCTCACTCACATCGACTTGGTCGTCCGTCCACGAGTCCATGCTCAAAGACTTGACCTTGGAAATATGCGTGCCAAGCTTCCGATGTAGGGCCGCGCATCGCATACAAAGAAAGATGCCCATCTGTATCCGATCTAGTCAATATACTAAGTCCTTAATCGGGGGGGGGGAGGTCGAATCCGTGCATAGATCGGTCGTGGTACGTACGTTCCAACTAGCCCAGCCTGGATTTCACAAGATTTATTAGCATCACATTGCCATAGGATGTTTGCAGGTCTTGATGCTCACCAGGATTCATAGCCTGGCAATCAGCGCATCGATCGTTGCCAGGAACCGACCGGATGAGGTCCTGCAATGCCCGCTCATTGCGGTATTGCTGCCGCTTGCTAATGCCTCCCACCATGGTCGCACGATGCCCAAAAGGCAACGAACTATATTGTGCAAGTAGATTGACGGGCTCCAAGTATCTGAGAGCCAAGAATAAAAGAGTTTGTGGTCGTAAACTTGCAGGGGGGTTCCGTAGAGATAAAAGTCTCAGGTGAATGCACGAGCCGAGCTTCCGGAACGGGGAATTCGGGGGAAGAAGAAGAAGACACTCAGGCGGCGAGATCAAGCATATTTACACAATCAACATCCAGGACATAAGCCGAAGAAGAGCCGTATGAATTGAGAGAAAAAATGACAGAATAGCAAAAAAGGATAGAAGAGGTGGGGGGAGGGGAGGTAATAGACTGAGTAAAGATGAGGTGAGAGGAGAGGGCCGACGGAGGGAGAAAGTGGCCAGGGATGAATAATGAATGAATGAAGATGTGGGGAGGAAAGTTGGGATGGTGGATTCCATTTCCTCAAAGTCGTGCTCTTGTCTCTCCTCTCTACTACTAACTACTAACTAACTAGTTAATGTTAACTACTCTTCCGTAATCATCAATGCAGATTACGGTAGTCACTTGAACCAGTTCAATGATGATTGATTGACTGACTGACTGATTGAAAAGCATCTAGACTGCAACTACTCGAGGTTTCATAAGCAGCCAGCCTCGTTCGGTCCTGCATCCGGAGTTCAAGACGGCGCCCGCCGATGCATCCATCCATCCATCCATCCATCCATCCATGCAATGCTTGCTGCTTGTTTCTCTTGCTCCATTGTCAAGAGTCAGGGGCAAGCAGCCCCCAACTGGACAATAGACCCAGTTTTTCCAAAGAACGGGCCACAATCGTTCTATTTTCAGCGCCATTGGCATTTGTTCCCCCAATTTATGTCGCTAATATATTGCAGGCACTTGGTTCACTTTATTTCCATGCGCGGTCTGGGCAAAGGACAGACTCCTTTTCACTCAAGCTCAAAAAAGATAGTTTCGGGTCCGGAGTCGGACGCGTTCGTCAATCGCTGAAACCCACGTTCAGGACTTGAGCCAAGTTCTGATAATCAACAAACTGCGCCCGCGAACCCTAGTCGAATGATCCCTGAAGACCAATCCACGGGCTCGGTAACCTGGTTGCTTGATCCGCGCTTACGAGAAGCATCACAAGTGACACTCTCTGGATCGCTGCAACGGTCTTCGGCATGAGCGCGTGTGACCACAGCTACAATACAGGAAGAGAGATCTCTTTCTCCGTCTACACAATTAAGAAACGATCTTGCGTCGGCATGTATGAGCAGCAGTTGACTTCATCACCATCGCACTCGAGGCTCCCGAAGAAACCCAGCACGGTGATGAAGCCATAGCAAGACATTTGCCCGGTGTTGGAAACGTCATTCTGGTACGCCAATATGACCTGCCATCCTATGGAGGATAGGAGTGTAGGTTGATTATGCGTTCGTGAGGTATGATAAGTGTAAAGAAGAAAATGAAAAAAAGGTCCCTCTTGCCGCGCGGAAGAAAACTGTTATAAATGATACAGAATAGTGCGTCACGTGAACGAGTTTCCGAGTCTCCGCTGTCTTGTGATGCCTTAGGCACTGTAGTCCTTCCATTATGTACATCTATTTATCCCCTTCACCATCTATCAAGTCGATCCAGGCCGTCCAACCTTGCTCTCTCTCGAGCACATCTATAAGGGACACAGCTGTCCGTATTCCCATCTTGTGCCCGATAATACCGAGGCACCTCATGGCCCAAGCATGGACAGGGCTCGACACTCCATCGACTAGCGAAGCAAGATAGAGGGGCAAAAGCAGAGTGAACCCAGTGCCGGCTTTTGCTACCAATGGATCCAGGGTTTGTCTCTCAGCTTCCTGAGCAAGGCCAAATTTGTACGGAACCGCGCAGCAGACATCCATCGCTAGTTGCCTTAAAAGAGCGCGGACGTCGCGACAAAGACTCTTTATGCCCGGGGTAACTGAGCTGCGCTCGGATTGAAACATCAATTGTCGTAACTGTGCCAAAATCAAGCTATTGACGAGGATCCGGATGTATCGGTAGTTGTTCCAAGTATTGCACGTCCACATGGACTGGTACACATGGTAATAACCATTGTAATGACTGACCGCTTTTACCGCCTCCTCTCGTGAGGCCTGGAAATTGCTTCGCAGACTTACTGAGTAGGGCAGTTCAGCAGAGAGTTCCTTGCTGAAATCCTCTAATTTAGATTCAAGCTTCATGGCGAGCGTAAGTATTCTGACGCTGTCAGTGACTGCTTCCTCGCTCATTTGAACTTGAAGATCGCATAGACCGGCGGCAATCTCCACCAGCCTATCTGCACAATAACTCTGAGCGGTGGAATTTGGCCGATATGGAGTCCTGATGAGTGTAGGAGGGATTCGTGTTCGCTTTTGCAGGCAACCAATAAGCTATGAGAAAGTCAGACATATGCAATCCGTAACTTGGCTTGGACGGATCCAGGAGCTAACCACTTCATTTCTCAGGACTTGGAACATTTGCAGACCGGTTTCACGATGGAGCTGTTCCTCTCCACGAAGTTCGAGTAGGGCCGCGATGCCTCGTGCATGTTCATACCAAGATAGCAGAGATGATTCCTTGTCGCAGCAGATAATCTTGCAAATCAAGTCAGCGGTTTCGTTCTGGGAAGAATCACAAAGAACTCACTTCATACAACGAGAGACAAGCCACCGCAGTGAGCGTGGTGTCTTCTTTGACCGCTACTGGATCACAAAGAGCGGCATTTGTTAACTGCAAAGCAGTGGTATACTCGCTTCTTGAAGAGATTCGAAAGGGACGTGAATTATGAAGATTCGCGAGATTAGCAAGACCCACCGACGCAATGCCCGTCATCATGGCTTTTTCGCCAATAGAAAGGGCATGCGTCTGAGACTGTTCTACAAGGCATGAGACATTGAGCCATGAATATGACTTGAGAAACAGGCAGGTGGCTTGGAAGATGTGGTCCAGCGCAAAATTGAAGACGGGGATTGAGAAGGTCAAGTGCTGGAGGCGATATACTTGGGCAGCCGCCTGTCGTATCGCTACAACGGCAGTTGTTGGTGGGGCCGAGTCGTTCGAGCCCGACTTATCCAATGCCTTTACTTTCTGCACGGTGGCGTCGCTTTCGTCTTGAAACCACAGTGAAAGTTGATCCCGATAACCGGCGCAGGTACGCCTAGCTTTGGTGCAGCGTAGACAGACGGGTCTTGTTTCATCGCACTAAGCTTCATGATCAGCGTCGGTAGTCGTGGGGGCCGAAACTAGTTTCCAACAACGACAGAGATTGTTTGCTCAGCCTTGGCCGCAAGAACATACCTTAACTTTTCTCGCGCGGCAGGTGTCGCAACCTCCACTCGGTTTGCCACGGTATACCATGGCTAGCCGGAGTTCGACGAACTCGGAGTGTACTGTAAACTGGTAGGAGACTTCCTGCAGGATACGGGCTAACCGAAGAGCACCAGCCGTTCATAATTCTGGGCGGAACCGCTTGAAACGTTCCAAGAGGCCATGGAAGCCTGCAATAATGATCGTTGCATGAAAGAAGACTAAACTGTCAGAAGTCAGTCTTCCTCATAGTGCTGACATTGGCAGCCAAGTTGGAACAAGTAAGAGTAAGAGAGACCCGAGCCCGGGTGGAGTTCGACAGTCGGTCCAGGTTTGCGGCTTGGCCAAGTCAAGCCTCAGGCTCTCTCCCACTAACCCGCTTTGGGTATGCAGAGCGAGCACCTCCCAGTCGCCCGGCCTATTCATTGGCCCAATCTGTCCCTTCAAACAATTCCGCCCTGAAAGGATGCGGTATTCTTCACTTCATATTGCATGGAACCGTAGGTTGAGTGCCTATGAGGGTCGCAAACACTGCCCGGCGATCCTGATGGAGACTCGCAATATCATGGTACCTGCACAGCCTTGTGGTTCTCAGGCTAAAATTCTTCGTCATGGAGACTGGAGATAGTCCGAGTTGAGGGGATTAAATAGCGAGCTTCTCCCCTTCATTGACTTTGATATGAAGCTTCAAACTTTCTGTTCGCCATTCCTCCCAATACTCTCTTGACAAGTCTTGCTCAGCCGACTACTGCAATCATGGCTATTGACTATCGCCATGGAATCTCCATCCTCCAATTAATAGTATACATCCCCACCTTATTCACGGCACTATGGATGGCCTTTCGCCATGGTTTCACACGAAGCTCGGGCTGGATATTCTTCGTGATATTCTCGTTAGCTCGAATTATCGGCTCCTGCTGCTACCTAGCCACCATCAACGATCCTACATCAGTCGATCTCTATGTGGCATGGGCAGTCTGCACATCCATCGGAGTCTCACCTCTAACCTGGGCCTGCATTGGCCTGCTGTCTCGAGCGTAGGTATACTCCAGCAGGTTCTCAATAATCATCCTTACTAACATCTCGTGTTTCAATCCAGTAACGACTCGATCCAACGGAGATCCGGCCACGCTCTACACCCCCTCCTGTTCAAGGTGACCGGCCTGATCACCATCGTAGGCATGGTCCTGGGCATCGTGGGCCAAACGAAAAGCACCAGCCCGACGGAAGGGCTGTACAACTCCAAGACCAAAGCCGGGCTGGTGCTGTACCTCCTCGCATGGGTCGGCCTCTGCATCCTGCTGCTCCTCACCTCTCTCCGCTATCAGTGGATCGAGGAAGGCGAGCATCGCCTGCTCCTGGCCGTCGGCATCTCGATCCCCTTGCTCTTCGTGCGCATCCTATACTCTTTGCTGTCGGCCTTTGCCCAGAAGCCAGAGTTCAGCTCGCTCTCCGGAAACGTCACCATCCAGCTGTGCATGTCGGTCCTGGAGGAAATTGTAATCGTCTTCGTTTGTCTGGGGATCGGGCTGACGTTGTCTGTCCGGCCCGCCTTCGAGCCCTTCCAGGCCAACACTCAGGATGCGCCGATGCTCGAGTCGCAGGCGCAGCCAGACCAAGACATGTTGAGTATGGATTACGAGAGCGCGAGGCCGGAGCGCAGATACAAGAAGCGACGGGGTGGACCTATTAGGCAGCTCGTTGGGCTGGCAGTCGATGAGATCAACTACCGACGCCAGAAGTGAAACCAGACTTGAGCCTGAGGGACGTATGGCTTTTGGTAATTGCTTGTGGAAGGCATGATGTTTCTTTGTACATTGTGGGGATTAGTTCTTCGCTGGCGTTTAATGTTTTTTGTCCAAGTGACCATGATACCTCCTAGAATATATGTCACAGGTGCTTGAGTTTCATTGCACCGTTCTTGAACGGAAGATTTCACCGAAAATCACCAAATGGGATCGATAGACGTCAAAGATAGTTACATGAGTCAAATGTAATATCAGCGACCAAGACCTTTTTGAAGCTCTTTGTCTGAATCAATATACCGATAGTTTCACCCCCTCCAAATCACCAACCTTGTACCCGCACGGACAAACATTCTACCCACCGAGGACTAGCGCATCACATGACCACATTAAGCGAAACATATATTCTCATGTGACCGTAGCCGTCTGACTTTTTTTCGTTTTCCCCTTCAATTTTCTCTCCCATCAACACTCGGCCGGCCGCTTGGGCAATCTGTCACATCGACAGCCAGCCATGGCTCAGTCTCACAAGGACAAACCCATTCTCATCGCTACGATTATTCAACCTGAACAATCGCATTAGATGGACCTCGTCTCCCGAACTGTATGATGTTGGCAGTGGGGGCCTCAGGCATTTTTATTGCCAACTCGTAGAGAAAGCAGAGACAACACGAACACACAAAACCCACACAGTGCGCGTCTAGCCTATTCAATGGCAAAGAGGCATACTTTTTTTTTAGTTCGTTCAGTGGAAGATCAAAACCAAACAGTTTTTAGCAGAGCTGCGTCTACTCCACCCTGGTGTTCGCTTTGATCGAACGGCAGGACTATTTTTACGACGGACATTCTATCTTGTAGATCTTCGGATTGTAGTTTGGCACGTTGCTGCATGTTGCTGGTGGCGTTGACCTCAGCCCTGACCAGAGAGAGGACTACTGCGCTTCATATGTGCATCGGTCATGGTACGCTGTGCTGTCGCATTGGAATTTACATCTTGAGGATGTTCTGGTAGCGGTGCTCAACTCAGTCGATGAATGGCACTTGAAACCCTCATCGACAATCAGGAGCACAGCATTATTAGGGCTGATCACCGCCCTCTTCTTCTGCAGAAATGGGATGAAATGGAACTCGATGCCGAATCTCGCCATCGTCTTACCATGAGGCGTGAGGTGTGCGCAAATCCAGCCTTCACGCAACCCTGCTTCTAATCGTCCGGCAAATTCTACCTGTAAGGTCACCCACTAAGCATCCGGTGGCTTCGAAAGAACCTTCTTCGGCTCTACACAAAGTTCAATATGGTTTGTAAGACCGAAATGCCAAAATTGAGACGGTACAAAGTTGGATACCGATGATGAGTAATGGCGACAAGTCTGGAGTTCTGGACAGGCACGATTTGGTAAGACGGAGGAAGTGGAGGGAGAAAAATGGTGGAGCCGAGCATGAACAAAAGAACCAAAGAGAAGTCGCAAGTTTATAATCGGAACGCACCGGACCCGCTTCGACATTCATGATTGGATTTGTCCCCGTTCGGATTGTCGCATCGTATCTATCATCCATCCCATCCCGCCGACGCAAGAAGACAGACGAGGGTTAGACTACCCCTCCCCAGGTTGACAACACCATTGCGCTGGATAATCAATTGTCACAGAAAGCTCCAGAATATAATCCATTGAAGAGAGCAAGTAACTTTTCCAGGGCAGGAAAAGAGCCCTGGGAAGAGCCATGGATCGAGCCCGGTTGCCACGGCCCGTAATCTCCAACAGCCGCGGCAACCATCCATCCGACAAACCAACGGCAAAACTCAGGTCTTCCAGAAGAAAGTGCAGGAAATGCGGAGAGAGACAGAAAGCCAAAAGACTGGCTATTGCTTACTCAAAAGATTGGGGCTAGAGCTCGCCCCAATTCGCCCTTGTAATTGGTGCCCTCAGGGATTATTGGAGGAGTCGCGGGCAAAACCGATGAAAGTGATTCGCAGCCTGGTAGACTTATTAGTATCCCTGTCTTCGTCCTTTCTCCTCTTTCTTCTCATACCTGTCACCTCTTCTTCCCTTCTCCCCTCTTCCTCCGTCTTCTCGTCTCACCCTCCCTCAGTAGTCGATTCACCCCAAGAGTACTGTGTGTACCCTTTCGTCCTACCTATCCCAACATAATCTCTCTCCGTTTCACACCTCTTTCTCACACAATGGCCTCCGCTGCTCGCTCGGCCTCTCGGGCCTTCCTTCGCTCGACCCCTGCCACCTCGGCTTTCAGACCCGCTGCTCGCAGCGCTCGTTATGCTCTTCCCTCCCAGGGTTTCCGCACCGCTTCTCGCCGCGGCTACGCCTCCGAGGCTGGCTCCAGCAAGTCCTCTAACGGCCTTCTGTGGGCTGGTGTTGCTGCTGCTGGTGCCGCTGGTGCTTTCTTCTTCTTCCAAAGCGGTGATTCTTCCGTGAGCTCCAAGGCCTTTGTCCCCACCCAGGCGGACTACCAGAAGGTGTACGATGCGATTGCCAAGAAGCTGGTGGACGAAACCGACTATGATGATGGCAGCTACGGCCCCGTAAGTCTTGACAAACCAATATTGAAGAGTCTTGTTGTTTTGACACGACACTAACCTCGCAATGCTGATAGGTCCTTGTCCGCCTGGCCTGGCACGCAAGTGGCACCTATGACAAGGAGACCGGCACTGGTGGTAGCAACGGTGCTACCATGCGCTTCGCTCCCGAGTCCGATCACGGTGCCAACGCCGGCCTGAAGCACGCCAGAGATTTCCTCGAGCCCATCAAGCAGCAGTTCCCCTGGATCACCTACTCTGACCTGTGGACCCTGGCCGGTTCTGCCGCCATCCAGGAGTGCGGTGGCCCTGCCATCCCCTGGAGACCCGGCCGTCAGGACCGGGACGTCGCCGCCTGCACTCCCGACGGCCGTCTCCCCGACGCCTCCAAGGACCAGAGACACGTCCGTGACATCTTCTACCGCATGGGCTTCAACGATCAGGAGATCGTGGCCCTGATCGGTGCCCACGCCCTGGGTCGCGCTCACACCGACCGCTCCGGCTTCGACGGTCCCTGGGACTTCAGCCCTACTGTCTTCACCAACGACTTCTTCAAGCTCCTGCTCGACGAGAAGTGGCAGCAGCGGAAGTGGAACGGCCCCGTTCAGTTCACCGACAAGACCACCAAGACCCTGATGATGCTCCCCACCGACCTTGCCATGATCAAGGACAAGGAGTTCCGCAAGCACGTCGAGCGTTACGCCAAGGACAACGATGTCTTCTTCAAGGAGTTCACCGACGTGTACGTCAAGCTCCTCGAGCTGGGTGTTCCCTTCACCAGCAAGGCCGAGGACCGCTACGTCTTCAAGACCTTCGAGGCGTAGATCAGGTGCAAGGTGTGTGAATAATGTTTGGGTTTCCTTTTGGCATAATCAGTTCGCGGGGCATTGCGTTTCTTGACTTGTTTCGACATTTTGATATCCGATATATGCGTAAACGGTCCGCTCTTCGACGGCCGTGGCCCTTCTGTGCGGCTTTGTTCTCGGCTTGTCTGCCATTGAAGGCATTGTACAGCCGATTCTCGTGGGTTAGAGGTAGAAGATAGCTAGAGCATCAATACTAGACTTATCCACTAGATGAGTTGTATTACAGGGACGGGCTGTAGGCGAATTAGACTTACCTTCGAGTATTGTATTCTAAAAGTTTAATCGCTGGATTCTGCAATCCGCATTGCGAGTGATGTTAGATGCAGCAGCATGGCTCTTGTCACAATAGTAGTTCCGATGTCCAGAAGTCACGAGAGTTGTGGCGGCGGCGGTGGCAGCGGCGGGCGGGCGAGATCGCAGATGCGGAACGGCCAAGACCCGTTCGCCGCGCCGCCTTATCTTTTTTTCATCATCTTTTTGCGACGAAGCATTTAATCCCCGTTATACATAGGAGTCCCTTGGCACACGAATATCTCTTGCACGCGCCTCGCAAGAAAGGGAGAAAAGCCTGTCTTCACGTGAACACTAGACTGAAATCCCTCTCGCCAGTCGACCCCCACCTTCTATCTTCCTCCGAGCAAACCTGAATACGGAGACAGGAACAGGAAGGAAAGGACATTCACAATGACCCTCACCACGAATCCTCTCCCTCTTGACTATTACGAGATCCTCAACCTCTCCTTCACGAGTGCGCCCCTCTCGAAGCAAGAACTCAAAACCGCATACCACCGCGCCCTACTCAAACACCACCCGGACAAGGCTGCCGCCGCCAGCACACCCGCTCAGGATGCGCCTCTAGGTTATCTGGCCTCGACCAACACCCACAGCTCCCCGCCGCAGACGAGACCCTACACGATAGACGAAATTACAGCGGCATACAAGACCCTCTCCGTTCCGTCTCTACGCGCCGAGTATGATCGCTCCCTGCGACTGGATCGCGCGCGGGCCGCCGCGGGGCAGGAAAAGGCCGGGGGCAACGGGGTGCTGTTTCACACGGGGTTGGAGGTGGTGGATTTGGAGGATCTGGGCTGTGCGGAGGGTGAAGACGGCGAAGGGGATATGTGGTATAGAGGGTGTCGCTGTGGGGATGAGAAGGGGTTTCTTCTCACGGAAGAGGACTTGGAGAGGGAGGCAGAGAACGGGGAGATCGTGGTCGGGTGTCGGGGTTGCAGTCTGTGGATGAAGGTCCTGTTTGCGGTTGAGAATGATGGCAGTGACGATGAGCAGGAGCGAGAGCGAGAGGGGCAGAAGCAGGGAACCTGAGGTGACGATGATGATGTTGGTGAAAATCCTTGTGTGTGAGCATACGGTAATGCTCTTTTTCTGGTCTTGCTCCCTCCCCGAAGGGTGAGATGTTACCCGCATATTAACCTGGTTCACCGGGTAGAATAGCCCATGGACTGGTCTCTCCTCCCGGGCACGTTTTCGGGTGTCTTTCGAGACTCTGGTACGATATGGGTTGCGGGAAATAGCCCGCATAGCGAGCGTGGGTGCTCTGGTAATGCAACTTGAGCACTCAAGGTCGAGGTGGACTCGACACGCTCACCCTTGTCCTCGAAGTCCTTGGCTTGCAAGCATGATATCCTGCTGTCTCGGAGAAGTCTGTCCAACAGAGACTACGATGGTGTCCAAGCTCATGGATTGATCGCCCAGCCATGAGCAGACTGGTGGCAGAATGAATGGGCCTGATGGCCACATCATACTCAGTTACCTATAAAAGAGATATCAGTAATTCTAGTTGTGTATGAGAAATGAACTAATGAGTGCGCCTATTTGAAGTTGGTGTTCAAGAGCAAGAGGTGATCCAAGAAACGAAAAGCGTCGCAGAAGCAGCCGCGGGGTTGAGGAGACTCGGAGTTGATGACATATAATGGATAGTCCGGGGCGGAGACGAAGGAACGGACGAACCGTCCAGTCTGCTCCGGTCAACAACAACCAACCTCTTCCTCCTTCAAATCCTGATTACACCTCTCAGCTCAGTTCACCCCCACCGCCACGATGTCACAACTCGTGCAAATCACCTCCAAAGAGCAATTTGCCTCTCTACTGAGCTCGTCTACCTTTGTCGTAGCCGACTGTGAGCTTGTCTTCCCTGTGTTCCAGCTCCCCCGCCTTTCCCCCCTCCTTCGTTTCCCCCTGCCACCTGTCTCACATCCACACCGGTTGCACAAAACCACCCTATAAACAAACCAACCCAGCTAACTTCGTTTACTCTTATGCTCCAAAAGTTTACGCAGATTGGTGTGGACCATGCACTGCCATCGCCCCCGCGTACGAGCAGCTAGCCATGCAGCTGTCCCGCAAGGACCGGATCACATTCACCAAGATCAACGTTGACAACCAGCAAGATATCGCCAAGGCCTATGGCGTCACAGCGTATGATGACCCTTCCGCCTCCCATGACCGTTCGGAAAGGGAAGGAAACCCAAGCTAATCTCAGCGATACCGCGGAATAGAATGCCCACCTTCATCGTTTTCGAACGCGGCCGCCCAACCTCCACCATCCGCGGCGCCGACCCGAAGAAGCTCAACGACGTCGTCCGTAAACTCGCCGCGGAGGCCAACAAAGCCGAGCCCTCATCCGGCGAAGGCTCAAGCAGCGGTGGCAGCGGCAGCGGGGGATACTGGATCGGAGGCGCCGTGCCCAAGGGCTATAGTGACATCACAGACCAAGCCGACCCCAAGGGACTGGAGCTGTTGAACCGGGCCAGCGAGTACGGCACGGCCAGGACGCTCTTCGAGGGGCCGAAGCCCTCCGCCCTGAACAGCAAGGGCAAGAAGGCCGGCGGTCCGGACTGGGTGGAGAGTGACACCGATGAGCAGCTGATGCTGTTCGTGCCCTTCCAGTCCACCGTCAAGGTGCACTCGCTGCAGATCACATCCTTCCCGCCGGGAGAGGACGAGGACGAGGAACGCGACGAGGATGAGCGCCCGATGCGCCCCAAGACGATCAAGCTGTATACGAATCGCTCCCATGTCTTGGGCTTCGACGAAGCGGACGATATCGACCCGGTGCAGGCGGTGGAGATCCAGCCGCAGAGCTGGGACGCGAACACGGGCACAGCTACGGTGGATCTGCGGTTCGTCAAGTTCCAGAATGTCACCTCGCTGGTGATTTTCTTTGTGGATGGCGACGGGGACAGTGAGAAGTTGCGCGTGGACCGGCTCCGGATCTTCGGCGAGGCCGGTGAGAAGCGGGAGATGGGCAAGTTGGAGAAGATTGGCGATGAGCCCGGGGAGTAGTCATAGTAAATAGTAGAGACCTCAAGCGCGGGGTGTGTAGCATATACACCCATGTACTGTACTCCGTACTTGACAAATGTCCGGGGAGTTTCTTTGGCGGGATGTTCATGCTGGCGAGCTTGAGTGTGCACGCAGATAGAACTTGCATGATGTCAACAACAGACAGCACATACAGTCCCTCGAACACAGTACTAGCTGGCGATACAATCTAAGATATCTATGCATATCAACTATACAATGATATCTCATGTACTACCCGCAACCCAGACATGCGTCCCGATGGCCGAGAATTATCCCACTGAGGCTACAAAAACTACGAGTCTCTTGCACACAAGACCCAATCTACAAGCAATAATCCCACCAAGCGAGGCTTTCCATCCTTCAAGGAGATGATGAAAGCAAACGCTTAAACGAGGAAAATTGTAATGTCCGATCCCAAACCAAATGGTCTCATCCTAGTAGGAAAAATTCAGAAAGACCAATAAAGTAGAACCGGTGTGCAATTCCGTTCGTCTGTGACGCAACTGACACCTGGGAAAAAAACATCACGGTAGAAAATGATGTCCAGGCAACACGGGTGAATGTAATAGTTGCGTCGCCGCACGAAGAAAGAAAAGAAAAAAAAAATGTGGTGGTCGACAGGGAGGAGGAGGTTTTATAGTGGTGGAGTGGGGACGGAGCGGGGGATCGAGTTAGTCCGGAGGAGAGGCTCGGTTAAGTCGCCGCCGGCGCGGTCGTTGAGGATGACGGAAGAGGCTTAGTGGGCTCGGGCGGTGAGCGGGATGCTCGGTCTCTCTCTTTTTTTTTTTTGCTGTCTTCTCCTCCTCTTCTTCTCCCACAATCATATTATTATGGGCTGATGATGAGACACATTGGATGTATAAACATATGATAGGAAGAGACTGACTCCCCACGATCAAGGGGAGCTTGATCTAAACTACCATCCACTGAGGCCTATTTCCCTTTTTGCTTGCTGCCTCGTCGACTTTTGTTTTCTCGTGTCGACCGAAAAATTTGTCTCTCTGCCTCATTTTTCGTTGCTTTGTGTGTGTGTGGGTGTGTTTGTGTGCTTGCTTATCGGTAGTCTATGCCGGTTTGCTTGTTGATTCATGATCTCAAGGATTTCTTCAGTCTGATTTTTGGGGTCGCTATTTGCTTTTTCCTTTCCCTTCCAATCTATGTTTTTTCTTTGTGTGCTTTTTGCCTGTGGCGTCAACGCTGCTGGCCCCAGCGCCCAAAGGCACGCCTTGTTTGCCCCCTCCCCATATTTTGTCATCCATGCCCTGAAGGATTCTTGAAGGATGCTTATGTGGTGTGAAGAATGCCGAAAGGGACTTGTGCAAGCCTCGCTTCCTTCGCTGACTCCGGCCCGGACGGCCCCATGCCCGGCCGTCCCATGGTCAGATAATCGAGGCCCAGGCGTGCGACTACTATAGATCAACTTATCTAAGACGGAGAGATCCCGGGGGAACGAGTGGATGTTGTGAAGATGCCCTGGGAACGGACTAATGCAGTGATCATGGGGCGGAGGGGGGCAGAAGGGTCGCTGACGGGACTTTGGTCCTCATCCTCGTCAAGGAAACGGCTTGCTTTGGGGCCTGAAAGTCGTCGTAATTCGTAAGGAGCCTGAAGGAAATTCCTCAGCCCGATTCGATGGTCATGGGGCTGTCTGTGCGATGGTGGTGCAAACTTGCAGAGTGCAGGAACACACTAGTCAGCTAAGCCAGTAAGCCCTGCAGCTGTCGACGTACTTTGCAGCTGCAAATTCTGCTCGTTGCGATGCTCTATCGAATGGATTGATGTTGCATGCAACATCAGCAATAATCAAGCAACGCGATCAGAGAAAGCGTCCTTGCTCTCTCGTTGTTCGCCTCGCCTCGCCTCGTCTCGCTGGCTGGCATACTGGCTCGCTCGCTCGCTTGCTTGCTCATTTGCTTGCTCGGCTCGCATGGAAGAAAGCCCCCATCCCAGCAATCAAATCGTCTGTGCCTGCCTATTTCAACCGAGCCCGAAGAAACAAAATAAACCAGCGGTACATACGTGTGAGGCTTGACATCGATCCATGGTTCCAATCAGTTTGAAGCCCAGAAGGTCCTTGCAGGAAGCGAAAAAGTTGGCAGCTGGAAGCCCTAGTAAGTATTGTACGGAGTACCTAGTTATCGGTCCGGTCCAGCTTCCCGTGTGATCAACCAACCCGCGGTTCTGCTATTGGTTTTATTTTTCGAGCGTCTCGCGTAATAGATAATGACAATGGCCATTTTTGGCGTGTGCATTGTTCATTCTGGGACTTGCCCAGTGCTTTCCCTTTTTCGTGTTGTGCTGGAGAAGTGGGAAAATGGACCACCGCGATCCATGGAACGGAGCTCGTTGCCCCCCCATCCATCTCGAGTTCTTATCTGATACCAATCCACCATCATGCCATTTTTGCCCCGGCCGCACGAGTCGGAGTATGAGACACAGGTATCCGTCGGACGTGGGGGGTCCTTGATTTGCTCTTTCCTCTCTCTCTCTCTCTCTCTCTCACTCTCAGACATACCCCCACCAAGGCAGAGAGCTATTGTCTGGCAGGGCGCAGGTATTGTGCATTGTGCAGATAGCAATCCAAGGTCCCACTATTTTCTCCCGGGAGGTCGATTCCGCGGGGGGACGCGCTCGCGTCGATCATGAAGGACCATCCTTTGGCCCTGCGCATCATCCCTCCCCTTTCGCGATCACCAATCGCGGGTTGGAGATCTGTTGCCCGTCCATGACATGAAGCATTCCCAGATGCCCGCGACCCACGCTTGCTCCCAGACTCTGCCCTTGGTGGCCGAGGTGTTTGACTCATGCACCAAAAGTCTCACCGTGGGATAATAATACATGCAATCCCGGGAGCTTGCCGCACACCACGGTAGGCTGTAGCATTCCGCGACAGCTGAACAAGGTTTGCTTCCTCGTGTGGAGTCGGCGCGTGCTATAGCGAATGCTGCGAGTGCTATCCAATTAGAGTTCAACCCTAGGTTCTTTTGGGGGGGGGGGGAGATCGCACTATCAGTCCGTGGAGTTGGCAATCTTGGCAGCGACCCAAATTTTGAATGGCCTCATTCCGAGTGTGCATGACTCTTTGTTCCGTATGTGAAGGCTGAATTTGATCGGCCGCATGTCGCAGGGTAGTGGTGGACTCTGTCCCCAGGACCATCCGAACGTTACCCGCCTCTTTCGAGGACTGATCACCTCCGGTGTCCCTTCGCGACGTTAGGAATGAAGTGGCTGAAGAACGGTGTCCAGTATTCGTATACGCTGGATGGGGCTCAAGCCACACCAAGACTCCCGCATCCACAAGTCGAGAGTCGCGACCCAGCTGCTATCGTTTCGTGTCTCCGAGACATAATGATAGACTCAGGTCAGACATTTCCTACAGGAAAGGGCCAGACATGTTAGAGATGGACTCTCCTACTAAGTAAGGACATAGCTGTGTCACTTGCCGTGTCACTTACCTGCTTGTCCTCCCACGTTTTCGTAAGGTTCTAAGCATGACTCTCAAAACCCAAACCGTGTAGACGGTATATTATGCTGAAGCCGAGGATCCGATCCAAGGTAAGCTCATCCCATGCGAAGGGTTTGGGGCTGGCACTAGAGTCTGGTGCTTAACCTTCGCGATGATAGGCTTTCACCTCTTTCCTTCTTGCCGGGTGCCCGCAACGAAAAATTCGGATAGCTTCCGCAGTAAATCCCCGATGTTTCCCCAATGACGCCATGCTCCTCAGCATTCCCACAATCGGAAAGACGAAAAAGAAAAAAGAAAAAAAGAAACAATTTGGAGATGTCGGACGGGAAGAGGGCCCTTTGGTGCTTGTGGTCAACCAAGATCGCGGATGGATCCTACGTTATCTCGTTTTCCCCAGCTAAATCCCTCAATTCGTGGGTCGCCCAAAACTCCGCTGAGTGCTCTACATACCGCACTGGGGTTAGATTCGGGAAAACCAGCCAATACCCTCGCCAGAGCGGAATGTGTGCCATTGAGGCGGACCGATAGTCCTAGAGAGCACAACTAAGCCGCTTCTTTGAGTTCTTTGGCCTCTGTTAGTGGCCTGTAGTCAATTCACGTGCTGCATGCTCATGCTCACCGTCAATCACAACACACGGCCCTAACCCACGAGCCAGGTCCATTGACAGTGCAGTGCAGTGCAAGTGTCAGTGTCGACTGTCGAGACATGCACGTGCTGCGCCAGTGGCTTGTTGGCCTATTGGCCCAGGTTTTCAGCTCATGCGATCGGCCGCTCTAGTCCATGATCTTCCCTGCAAGCACCCAGGAACAGAACTCAAAGGTGCCCTGCCTGCCTGTCGGGGTCTGGAGTTGGGATCCCCCAGCCCCGAATTGGAGAGATATCGTTTGTGTGTGTGTGTGTATGTGTTCCGTTCAGTGCTGGCTTCAAGTGCTCGGATGGTGCATGCCCATACCCTAAGAGGCGCGCAGTCCAAGCTTAAGCTCGACCGAGGGCATCCGTTATCGTCACTGCCACGACCTGGGCGCCGCCACACGAGCTTGGAAATGTGGAGGCTTCGCTAGTTAATTCCAGAACGGTGTGCTTGTGGCTTGAATCAGCATACGGTAAGGTTGTGCGTGCGTGCGCGTGTGTATGTGTGTCAGTGTCTTTTCCCTCGAGCACTGATGAGGAAGGACAAATGTAAACAAACCTGTCCACCGCCATCTCTGGTAGCCAAAGCTCAATTCACTGCTAGTACCGCTAGCACCAAGGGAAAGTACTCCGGCCGCATGCTTGGGTGATTGGGTGGGTGGACACTGGACACTGGACACTGGACGGTGTGCCTGCAGGTGCCGTAGGTACTCGTACGCGTCTAGCCTGTATAGTTTGTCCCCGCAAAAAGCTGCGGTATTAGCCTGAAGCTTTATGCCGGCAGTCGGAACCATGCCCACTTACCGGACTGGGAAGCTGCTTGGCGGCGGACTAAGTACGCGAAGGATGCAATTGTCATTACTCAACCAGCAGTGGGAACCCTCGCCTACTGCCTTGGAAGCGGCGCAGGCAGGTTTCGCTAGACGAGCCACAGTGTCCATCGCGACATCGCTGGTGAGAAATACTTTTTTTTTCTGCCGCATATAGATAGATATATGGCGCGGTATGGTTGCTTCAGCCCATAGCTAGATTGGATTGTGGATTCCCTTCGGGAGACCCAGGGTCCGGCGGCAGTTGTGATCAATTC